AAACTAGTGTTTTTCATTTCCAATAAAGCAAAGTGCCTATTGTATGAAATTAGTGCTCGCATAAAAAAAGGAGAGGGTAACAAGTTCTACCCATGTTCAAAAGTCAATCACAGTTTTTGGCGAGTCTCTTAGTTTTTGAGAAATTTTGAATTGATATGTTAAACTATTTATAATTTGTTTTAAATTTGCATTTTTTTCAATAAGTAATCACCATACCGAAAAATGTTTTATTTGTAAAATTTCGGTGGTTATCCATAACCTGCCTGAAAAACTCAAAAATCTCAAACCAATAAGACGTAATTTTTAAAAACGTTAGCATACGATATTATATTCAAAAGAAAGTTTTACTAAAGATGCGGTTGTTGATGCACTTTATATAGAATTGATGTCAAAAACAGTATATTACGAAACTAATAGTCTATAATTTAATCCTTAATGCACCCGAAACGATTTTAAAGGCTCAACGTGTAGTGTCTCTAAAAGTTGCAATTAACAATTGTTTTTGGGTATCCAATTTTGGAAAAGCAATTGATGCGACCTGTTTGACTTAAAATTAATTAATAAATGGGCCGATCATCTTTATTAAGGTTTACGCAAAATAAATGGTTCACCAAAGCAATTTTGTTCCCCTTCCAGTGTAATGGTCCTAACAGGTGGTGTAGGGGATAAAACAGTGTTATGCTGGCAATGCATTTATTGGTCAACATACGCAACTTAATAGGTTGCAACACAATTCTTTAGTGACATTTGTAAAAAAATGTTTTTTGAACGTGGGGGCTTTGGGTACCATATTTTGGTAAAGCAATTGATGCGGCCTGTTTGGCCTAAAATTAATCAATAAATAGCCCAATCGTTTTTGTTAAAGTTTGCGCAAAATAAATGGTTTGCCAAAGCACTTTTGTTTTCCTCCCAGTCCAGAGTACCGGTAGAGAGTAGGCAATGTCATGCAGGAAATGCATTTTATTGGCCAACATACGCAACTTAATAGGTTGCACACAATTCTTTAGTGAAATTTGTAAAAAAATGTTTTTTGAACGTGGTGGCTTTGGGTACCATATTTTGGTAAAGCAATTGATGCGGCCTGTTTGGCCTAAAATTAATCAATAAATAGCCCAATCATTTTTGTTAAAGTTTGCGCAAAATAAATGGTTTGCCAAAGCACTTGTTTTCCTCCCAGTCCAGAGTACCGGTAGAGTAGGTGATAAGGCAATGTCATGCAGGAAATGCATTTTATTGGCCAACATACGCAACTTAATAGGTTGCACACAATTCTTTAGTGAAATTTGTAAAAAAATGTTTTTTGAACGTGGTGGCTTTGGATACCATATTTTGGTAAAGCAATTGATGCGGCCTGTTTGGCCTAAAATTAATCAATAAATAGCCCAATCGTTTTTGTTAAAGTTTGCGCAAAATAAATGGTTTGCCAAAGCTTTTGCTTTCCTCCCAGTCCAGAGTACCGGTAGAGTAGGTGATAAGGCAATGACATGCAGGAAATGCATTTTATTGGCCAACATACGCAACTTAATAGGTTGCACACAATTCTTTAGTGAAATTTGTAAAAAAATGTTTTTTGAACGTGGTGCCTTTGGGTACCATATTTTGGTAAAGCAATTGATGCGGCCTGTTTGGCCTAAAATTAATCAATAAATAGCCCAATCGTTTTTGTTAAAGTTTGCGCAAAATAAATGGTTTGCCAAAGCTTTTGCTTTCCTCCCAGTCCAGAGTACCGGTAGAGTAGGCGATAAGGCAATGTCATGCAGGAAATGCATTTTATTGGCCAACATACGCAACTTAATAGGTTGCACACAATTCTTTAGTGAAATTTGTAAAAAAATGTTTTTTGAACGTGGTGGCTTTGGGTACCATATTTTGGTAAAGCAATTGATGCGGCCTGTTTGGCCTAAAATTAATCAATAAATAGCCCAATCGTTTTTGTTAAAGTTTGCGCAAAATAAATGGTTTGCCAAAGCTTTTGTTTTCCTCCCAGTCCAGAGTACCGGTAGAGTAGGTGATAAGGCAATGTCATGCAGGAAATGCATTTTATTGGCCAACATACGCAACTTAATAGGTTGCACACAATTCTTTAATGAAATTTGCAAAAAAATGTTTTTTGAACATGGTGGTTTTGGGTACCATATTTTAAAGCAATTGATGCGTCCTGTTTAGCCTAAAATTATGTAATCAATGGACCAAATAATAAGGTTTACACGTAATAAATAGTACAACAATGTACTTTTGTTCTCCTCCCAGTGCAATGGTACAGGTGGGATAATAAAAACAACGTCATGCAGGCAATGTTTTTATTGGTCAACATACGCAACTAATTTGGTTGAACACAATTTTATAATGAAGTTTATTAAACATGGTGACCTTTGGAACCCAACTCGTAGTCTGGTAAGGCAATGGATGCGACCTTTTTAGCATAAAATCGCCCCCATCATGTTTTGTTAAGATTTGCGAGTGGGTTCGAACGGATAGACAAAAAACGCAATAAGAAGCACATTTTTTTTTAATTCTTAAAAAATGCGCTAAAATGGATTGTGCAAATATAAAAGTTGCAAATGCTCAAATTTTATTTTTTATTCATCTGCATAGTTTCTTGAGGTTTAAGGAATATTTACTTACACAGAAAACCGTGCATTCATATTTTCTTTGCAACAAGACTTAAAAAATGAATCTTTTTTTAATCGGAATTTTGAGATGTTTTCGGGTTATAACTTTGTGCACTGATAGTCTACGTAGCTTAACAACAATAGCTACCTTTCTTATACTTTTAAGGACATGTGTACTATTTTTTTGTTTATAAGAAAGTTATCGTGCACACGGACAGAGAAACAGCAACACAAAATTATAAACAGGCTTGACGGTCGTTGAAAAATTAAGCCATATGTTGATGACAATAAAATAGGCAGTGAAGATTCTTACTTTTTTATTTTTTTTATTTTTCTTTTGTCCTTTATTTTTAAGTGGGCGGCTAATAGGGTAGCTAATCTTAGAAGCACCACATATAGTCTTTCTTCAGACCTCTTTCTTTCATGTGAGAATATGCCTAAAATATCGTCAAAGTGTAATACGTATTTGTTTGTATTTACCAATTTGTGTTTCATGCCATTTCATTGTTATAATTGTGATTCGTAATTATTTAAAAACACAATGGCAGTTCCATGCATCCACTTCAATTTTTATCGTTCAGTACGCGAATGAATTTGAAGAGTGTTTTATAAATTGTCAAATATGAATGTTAATCAACGCAGGCTCCACAAAATCTTTATTGATTCTGATATAGCGTTTATATTGTTTCCAAATAAATTAGAAACCGCTGTTTTACTGTATCAAACATTTTTCAAAATTCAGTTCACAAATTTAGGGCCAATATTCTTCAAATACATTCAAATGCCCAAACCCCATTAATAAAAAAAATCAACTTGTTTAAAATTCGTAACTTATTGAAAGGATTAATTATTAGAATCAAAAATTGCTTCATACTGCGGTTTTTCATTCTTATAATAGAATAGCGCTGTTGCCACGTATACGGGCCTCGGAACCAGCAAGAATTTTGTAAATGTAATGTATGTACGGAGGCCTCGCACTGTTATACAGAATCTTATACAGAACTACTGCAGCGACCCCTACTTCTTATTTCAATTAACTAAAATCCGTATAAGTGGTGATATAAATGGCACATGCGAGTCCCCTGACAAAATCCGTATAGGGGTGTAGGGGGGCAAAGGGATGGAAAATAAGCTGATATACACGCACTTACACTGCGAGGCCCGGAAACGGGCCTCGCATGTGAAAACCGGGCCTCGTTTGGTATAATACACATCTATTTCGGGCCTCGGATGTACAAGTTACGTATCTATATATATATATATATATATATAATTATAATTATTATTCAAAAAAAGAAAGAAAGATGTATTCCAAACCATTCAAATGAAGGGCGAAGTTCAGCACTACAGATTGCCAAAGTCTGCTCTCCCAATTAACCCTGTAGAGTCATATTTAACCCCTGCGGAGCATGAGTCCGCAGCGACTACTCATATCCCAAAAAATATAGCAACCAGTGTAGGGTTAACACCCTAGATGTAAAAGCTACAGACTAGTACTTGTAACTTGCTTATTTCTTATGGACGCCATATTGGATTTTTACAGAAAGAGATACTAGATTTATCATCAAAATTTCTTATTATATGATTGTTATCTTGGTGCGTCACTAAACGGGGGAGGAGGGAGAGGGGGATAAACGGGTGCACTTACTATTTATAAATTATATTAACAATCGGCATTTTCTGAAGGTTTCCAAAGTACAGTGTAAAATATCTAACATGACCTCAAATTCTGTACTCCGAACAATTCGAATACTGAAAGTAAAGAAACAGTATAGATTGATCCCTCCTATAAGACCATGCTTTTCAATTGGAATAAAGGATTGCTTTGTTTCATTTAAAAAGAATAGATTACGAAAGAGCGTTTCCTATAAAGATTAAACCTCAGATTGAATGTGATGTAGGGCGCCAATTATGTGATGTCTGCAATACTTGTGCAATGTGTGCAATATTGGTACTATGTGAGTAATATTGCACAACCTTTTTTTTAAAAAGGATTATCCGCTCAAAATGGTCACAATAGTCAATAACAATCTGTGAGACTAAAACAGAGAACCAAACAGCTTTCATCTCTACAGTGTACTCCCCAACTACATTTTCTTCAAATAAAATATGTCACACCATTCTTCCCGAGGAAGAATGCTCCTTTAAAAACAGTTTACACCATGCTTTCAAGACCTCAAAATAGTATTCAAAAATGTTCAATGAGACTTCAAGTGATTTTAATATGGTCTCATAGCAGATGTACTCAAGAGAGAATTCCCCCTAGGATTCTTCCAGTTAATACAAAGATTTTGTGAATTTATATGTTATTGGTGTCAGACATGTCATGCATGACCATATGGGCAGGGTGACTATACTGTTGTATACTAAAGAAAAGCCAGTACATACTTGCGTAACTAAATGTTCAAATCTCTGCCGAGAAGGATTAATAATCTTTAATTTGTATTCTATGTTTCCCGCTTGTGGCTCGGGAGGTAAGCAGCTCTGACCGCTATCGAGGGAGTTGTCACAAACGGCCGGACCAGTGTGCGTTTGGGTCGATACATCACTATATTCTTGCTGTTTTTGTTCCGTCCCAGTTACAGTTTCCTCATCCAAATCTTCAAGACTCGGGTTGAATAAACTAATCAAGTGTTCCATTCCTGTAGCTGCAAATGAAAGGTAAACATAATTATAGAATACTGATGTAATATTACGCAAAGTGAAAGTAATTCATAGATGCCCAGCTTAACAGAAACAAATGCTTCCCAAAATGGAAAAAATAATTAATTCGCTACAAATGGAGTTTGTTTATGCGCTTACTTTAGAAAAATCACACAACACTAGCCCACAAATTTCATAGATAAAAATAAACTTGCACAGTTCTACATTTTATAACAAATAAACAAAGGAGACACATCCTTCGACAACGGTCCACTGTTCGAACTTCGAAGCCGAAGCCGAACGTCAGAACGTGAACCACAGAGCGTCATGCACCACGTGAATAGTCAGGGGCGGAACGATGAATGGGTTTTTTGGGCTGCAACCAAGATCCCGTGGGTGCGGGAATACTTGTTTTATACTAAACTGATCAATACGTAAATAATGAGGGTATTAGTCTTTCCCAAATTTAACAGTAATTATCACAATTTAATGAATTATGAATTTTGGGAAATCAACAAAAATAATAAACAACCCAACATTTTTTACTGAAAAATTCGTTTTAATGAATGCCTATCATATGGTACCTAAGTGGATGTGGATGAATTGATTTAAATGATCTCGAAGGCCCAGTTTCAGACCCGTAGCCGGGGGATGACCGCACGAAATTCAACCTTACCTAGAACGTGGTCTTGCGCTTGCCCCCTCTCGAAACTATAGTTAAGAAAATATGAATTTGCTCTACCGGATATAAAACATAAACTCTGTAAACAAAGAAAACAAACGTATTTGAAGTACCACAAATAGTTCTTGGAATATACGAGCCTTTATGAAAGTCAGTATTGTTAAACATTTTTATTTTTCAAAATGGAACAGTTATAATTTTATGTGCATTTATAATAATAATAATATTTTTTTATTCACAAATAAGTTACCTTATGTAGAATATGTCAAACGCAAATTACTGAACAAGCACATTAACAATTTTGAGTATTTAAATTGAGAAATAGTCTTTTAAACTATAATTTAAAGGGTGACTTGTGGGCCCTGTAACCAAAATCAAACAAGGAAGGACAAATATTTAAAGTGCCACAAAGTTCACTGCTAGGTTCACAGCTTTCACAATAAAAGGATTATTATGTAAGTGAATTTTTTGAAGAAAATTGTAATTTCAGAAACGGAAAACGACTACGCCGTATATACTTAAGGCGATTTCTGGGCTCTGTACAGGAAACAAAAATATTTAGGTGCCTTAAAAATTATAATCCCCAAAATACATAGGAAGAGAATACATAAGCCATCGGGATTTTCGACATCAAACCATTCGAAGTACTGTATGAGGTCGAAATTGATCTATACATTTTTTTAGGGGAACTGTATCTATAATCAATATACTTCGTTCATTGCTGGACGATCGGATGCGGCCCCCCTGAAACTTGCTGCGTAACCGTGTTGCAGGGCCGGTGCTAGTTAGAGGCCCGGGGCCGCGTGCCCGTAGTGCGATGCAGGTGAAATCCTGACTATCCTGTATGGAACGAGTAAAAGCATTGCAGTCAGATTCTTCCTAATGGAGACTCTATTGCGAGGAGGCGAGCTTTGTCAACGACCGATTTAAATTCAATCTGGGAAAGTAGATCAACATTATTACTATCACAGCTTTTTTGAATGGAAGGATAGGGGGCTGTCTCGGTGTGTTTCCAGGCTTTCATAGCTTCAAGTTGAACATGAATTAAAACCTGGTCATCCATGAATGAAATAATTTCAGACTTGAGATCCAGAGCAACATACGTTGAACTCAGGAAGCAGAGAGTATGCGAAACACGAGCGTTCGGGAATGAGCTGGATGTTTGACTTGCAGTACTTGGAATCTCGAGGAATCAGCGTAAGCGGGATGTTTTCTTTTATTTTTGTGGTGAGATTGGTGTTTTCAGAGACTCACATGTTAAGCTTTGAATGTAAAAAGGAGTAGCTCTTCCCAGGCAGGTAGTGAAGGTTGTTCAATTGTTTTGTCATTTATTGCACTCAATCTGTTAACTGCCGCTACTCGCGGGCGGACGCTTCATATTTTTACGGTGTATTTGCAATTTCTCAGTAAAGCTGCTCGTAACTTGGGACGTTTTGGGTTGGCCCGTGCAATTGCAGACAACGATCCCTTTACAAGACAGGAGGAAGGGACAAAGGAGACGATTGACGTGTGATGAGCCCTGGGATTGTGAGGCATTGTATTTCTTCTTTTGGATAAGATCACTCATGAGTTGCAAAGCCAAGTGATATCAGTGGCACTCAGAGTATCGATGTTATCATTTACTGATAAGTTGACGCAGACCCCATGAAACCAATCTGAGCACCTTTTACACTGCACCATAGTTTTACTATCGATTGGTTTCCTACCTGAGCAGACAAATATTTTCGGAGATAGTGGACGTGAACCTCGTCCTTCTGGAAAATTGCGGATCCGCTAAAAAAGTAGATCCTTGGCGAGTCGACATCTGAAATGATAAATCTTTCGCGGTTGTCCTCTTTGTTAGCATCATTGGGACCCTCAGCTTTGGCGTTTACCTTGGCTAGATCCACTTGTTACCGTCTCTGCTAATGACTGTTGTAACTAATCTAAACTAATCGTTAGGAGCAGCAGTTACCTCCTTTATTGCGTCAGACTTCTTTATTCATAGTAGCCAAGAAGAAGTCAAGTGATAGGTACCTATTCTATACGAAATCCGTCAACCTTCAAATATCTTGGCAAACGATCTATGGTTGCGGATATTTTTTTCACGATTATTCTGAAAATACTTAATCGTTCGGGCTATAGCTATGCTTGAACGTTATACTATTATAGTATATTCCGTTTTTGGTAACTTTAGCGCTTTTTATGATTTTTTGAGCCTATGTATCGCCGCTTGCTGGTAGATTTCATGCTGCGTTTTAGCATTGAATATGGTTTTAGTTAATATACTGACTTAATTCCAAATATGTAATTTAAAACGTAGGTACTAAATAGTTTCATAGCACACAGTCAGAAAAGCAGAGAGGGACGAGAAGCTTCAGCTACTGGTTTAATTCCGTATAGGTGCGGAAAGTGAACCGATTGTTGGAGTTTGCCACCTACTTGTTCGTCATTCGTCCGTCCGTCGTATGTCCGACCCATCCATTCGCCCTACGTCCGTCCATCTGCCCACCTGTCGCATTTTCGTTTTAAACCCAATTTGAGGTCTACACGACTTTTGCGACATACCCTTGAAGTGTTTCCTAATAGCTACCTTGAATTGAAGTATTTGGTAGTAGCAAACATCATTTGCTTAGTTATGAAAGTTCCAACATATTTTTAATGAACGTCGAGAAAAAGTGAGAGGTGTGGAGCATATTACTGTTTCGCGTCGCGGCGCCGTTTGATGCGTTGGGATAATTTGGGTGCTCAGTGCAAAACTTTCATGTGACGGTAACGGGTGTCGAGAAGATAAGCCATGGAGGTCTGCTGGAGGTCTTCGTGGCAAATTTGGATTTTGTTTGGTGTATTGATACTCTCCGCACGTTTGCAGGGTTTGTTTTATTTTAAAAATTACCATGCAATAATATAGTGTGTAAAGTTTGAGCGTTTAAATCATAGTGTGCGCGAGTGCTAAGAAAAATGAAGTGTATAGGTTGAAATATTACATAATAATTAAATAATTTAGTTAGATCCAAGTTGGTAATAGTATGAAACGGTTCGCATTTTTTCATTCATCCAATACGCCGATTTTTTGCGCGTTATTTGTAGTTATAACATTCACTAACATCATGTGTTTTAAGTCGAAACTTATTTTTTAATACATCGGTGTTTTATTAATAGTAATTTAAATTTTATAGATTTTAAAAATATATAACCGCTCATCTAAAAGTAGCCATGTACCTACTGCAACTGACGACATAGTAGGCATTTAGCCAGCTAATGCTCTACCCTAGGACTAGTCTAAATATATAGTGGACTGGTGGGTAGTATAGCTATAACAATAATGCAAAACGTTGTCCTTCAATATATGAGGTATTTTCATTCGATTATATATCTCGTGAATAGGTCTTCGAAGTTGAACTAATTATAATACCCAATTTTGGTTCGGCATATTTTAAGGTGAGCGTGAGAAAGCTGTAGTAACAGCTGTTGCTTTAGCTTTGGACGGATTCCAGTCACTAAATATTCAATTTCATATGTTGCATCGTACACCACTTCATTTTAAATATCAACTAATCGGATTATATACAGTAATATAATCTTTCTAGTGAATTTTTCATGTATCAATATATCTGTATAGCCAGATACAATCCGTTCGTCCTTTAGGAGGTTAAAAATTTTTGAATTGACGAAGTGGGAATTTGGGAAAAGCTACATTTTTCATTTAATCGGTTTTGAAGTTAAGAGAAAAATTCTTCTCCTTACGGACACAGTTCACGGAAATCTGAATTTTTTGCATTAGATTAGTCGGCCTTTCAACTTTTCTGTTCTTTATATTCTGTTTCTTAATTGTACCCAATAAAGTCTTTAATTTTTATGTTGCTAGGAAAAGGTAAAAACGTATAATTCCGATAGCCAAGAACTAAGTAAAAGTGTAGGTAGGTTAAAATATTTATTATCAGTATAGCTTTAATTGGTTGTTCTGTTGTTCATCGATGACTAGGTAGCGAAATAAGTAGTAGTTCTTAAATGGCATTTCACGATATGCATAGGTACCTATGTAGTTTACGGAAAATTGCACAGGAAAAACAAGGAACTATAGATTTTTAACACAATTGCAGTACCAATTTTTTAATTAATTATACGCCAAATTTTTAAACTATGATAAGTAAGTACCTGCTTCTTGTAGTCTAATTACGTATGACTCACTCGAGTCAGTTTTTCTCCACACATATTTCAGGTTGTGTCAATTTCGAACCTTCCAACTATTATTAGAAACTAATTTTGACGATCGCTATTCCTGCACCAATGTTTCAGAAGAGCATCATAAAACTTCATTTTTTAGCTAAAAAATACTTCTGATGTACCTGGAAATTCAAATAGCCGTAGACGTTGTGAATTGTTCATTTAATTGTAACAGACACAAGGATACGTGTACTGGTGCTTTCGCTCTCAAAATTCACACTTCAAATAGAGGTGCCTACACTTTTACTATTAACTACATTGCAGTTTACACGGGCGCAATGATATTGAATAGTAACGTTTTGGATCGATGCAGGGCATTAGGTGGTATGTGGGTATACGTGTACCTTAACTTATTACTTGTTACTTACATGCATTCAAGGGTTCACCTATTTAAATTTTCATTTCGATATAGGCGTGCGAGGTGAATTGGAAGCAGAGGGCCCCTCAGAATCAGAATGTCGTCCACATATCGAAAAAGCATTGAAGCAACTGGAAGCTGCCGACAACGTAGACATTACGGATAGTACGGAAGAGATTCCAACGATAGAAATATCTGATGATTCGACTCTAAATGATGGCGACGACGAGGACTATCAATCGATTACGACTAACAGTGACATCCTCTCAAGTCCGTATGAGGTAAGCGCTAAATTTTGCTTACGCATATATACACTTTGAGGTAAAACAGTTATTAGCCACATACGCACAAACACTTTTAGGAAACCCCCCAAAACAATTTAAACGACAATGATGAAGATGACGATGATGACGACGAGGATAACGATAATGACTCAAAGAACAATGACAGCAGTACAGAATCGGAAGAGCCGGTTGTTAGTAAAGAAAATGGGGTACGTTACACTTTAACAACTTCTAAATTCAAACTTCGCTAATGAAATGCGGGTACCTACCAACTTGGTAACGAAAGATTTTTATTATTTTCAGTACGCCGAATACGAGCACACGTCCGAACAAATGCCGGAAGAAAGTACCGAGGCTGATGATGGTTTAGACTCGTTCCCTCTCGAAAGTGATGTTGACTCGATATATGAAACACGAAATGAATATGAACAGCCGACAGAAATAGAAACTGACGAGCCCGCAGAAGAAGAGGAAGAACAACACGCAGAAGAAGAGGAAGAACAACAGGCAGAGGAAGAAGAAGAACAACAGGCAGAGGAAGAGGAAGAACAACAAGCAGAGGAAGAGGAGGAACAAGCAGAAGTAGAAGACGAAAAAGGATTAGTAGAAGAACCAGAAGAAGAAGATGAAGCTCTTCCTAGTAGCAAGGAGCAAGATCAATTGAACGATGATGACGAAAAGGACTTATCGAAAGAAGGAGCTGGAGAAGTGATAGACGAAAATGTTGAGGAAGATAACGAAGAGATTTCGAATGACGACAAAGAGGACGACAATGATAACTTAGACGACTTATCCATCTATGTGGAAGAGCGGATTATTGAAGAAATATCAAACGATGATCCTCAATCGAGAGAAAGTGAAGATAGCGCAGAAAAGCAAGTTGAAACTGAAACCATAGATGAAGTCGAATCTGAAATTGGTATGTCACATAATAATTTTCGTTCATTCATTTTATTTTTTTTTAGAAAAAAGTAGTGAACCGACTGAAACTGAATCGGCAGAAGTTATTGCCGAAAGTATACAAAGGACGATCGATGTTGCCGAAGAACCGAAAGACGACGAAACTGTAGAAGAGAACGAGGCCGTTGAAGAATCCGTGGAAATGGGCGATCAGGAATCTGTTGTTGAAGAACTTATAGAAGATGATGAAGAAGAAGTAGAACTTAGACCACGAGACCATGTAGCTCAACTGCTTAAATTAGGTACAGAATCGGAAGACTTTGATAAAGTTTCTGAAAAAAATTCCGAAATATTGCTGAGGGACCTTAAAAAGTTATACGAAAATGCAATCAGACCTTTAGAAACACTTTACAAGTATAGAGATCTCAGTAATAGGCATTTCGGAGATTCAGAAATATTTTCTAAACCACTCATACTGTTTATGGGACCCTGGAGTGGAGGAAAATCGACCATTATTAATTATTTATTGGATATTGAAAACAAAGAAATAAATTTACACACAGGTAAGTACCTACGACTTATGATAAGGGCCGAACATACATGTTCTCTTTAGGCGCCGAACCTTCTCCCGCATATTTCAATATTTTAATGTACGGTGAAGAACCCGAAATCCTAGACGGTACAGAATTAGCAGCAGATTATACGTTTTCGGGTTTACAAAAATTTGGACAGGGTCTCGAAGAACGTTTGAAAGGTTACAAGATTCCCAGTAAACTATTAGAAAAGGTAACAAATTCCAGGTGCGCCCGTTTGTAGTTATATTGACTTACGTACCGCAGGTAAACATAGTCGAAATACCTGGCATACTTGAAGTTCGTAAACAAGTTTCTAGGATATTTCCTTTCAACGACGCGTGTCAATGGTTTATTGACAGAGCGGATATAATATTTCTGGTATACGATCCGTCAAAATTAGACGTCGGACCGGAAACTGAAGCTATTTTGGACCAACTCAAAGGTCGCGAGCATCAGGTAAGAGAAACACCTACGCGTAGAACTTTTGATTCCAAATAACACTGTGACACGCTTTCCATAAGTTGGTGGTTAGTTTCCCTTTCCATTATGACATACCCTTATCGATTGGTAAAGTATGGAAACTAATATAACTTGCCTATACTTGGTCATTGAGGTATCATTAAAATATCGAAGTCTCTATCAGTAGTTGAACCCTAATAAATGGAGAGTGACTACTTTACAAAACTTAGGGTCCTATTGGATTATCTTTCCGAAAATCACAGTAACGGGTCTTGTAGCTTTCCATAAATATATAGTTTAAATATACCTTCTGTTCTCCGATAAGATTCGTTTATATCTTTTAGACACGTATACTATTAAACAAAGCCGATCAAGTGAAACCAGAAGAACTAATGCGAGTTCAAGGCGCATTAATATGGAACATTTCGCCATTGATGTCTTCGGCTCAACCACCTGTAATGTACACGACATCTCTTTGGTCACGACCATATGAACAGTGGGCCCCCGTTCGACTTCTTCAAGCACAGGAACGTGCTTTCTTGAGAGACTTACGCACGGCAATCGATAAGAGGATTGACAACAAAATAGCAAGCGCGCGAAGGTTTGCGGTGAGTTTTACTTCCCATCTGTTTGATTAATATTATGATGGTATATCCAACAGGTACGCGTTCGGAATCATGCAAAAATGGTGGATTGCTATTTAACAACTTATTACAATCATAAATCGGTATTTGGAAATCGAAAACAGGTATCCGACGAAATCATTAATCATCCTCAAGACTACCATATATACGAAGGTCTTTCGACACTTACCAACATCTCACGTTACGATTTACCAGATCCCGACGTTTACAAAGATTTCTTCCGATTGAATGCCTTATACGATTTCCAGCAATTATCATCAACCTGTACGTACTTCCGGGGATGTCCCATTAACCGGTTGGATGTAGCGATAGCTTATGATCTTCCGGAGCTGGTCGGAAAACATAAGCGCCTTACAGAAACTGCCTTCAGTGAGACGGTGGCGGCCACAAAAACACCAATAAGCTGAACACAGGAGAACTTTTAAGGACCAAATCAAATTCATCATAATCAACGGCACAAGCACGTTATTCTTTTTTATGTTTATTTTTCTAACGCCCGTTTTCATAATTCAATTAATGAAGTAACTTTAAGTACAGAGTCGCTTTGACATTTAAGGTAGTACCGTTAAAATAACGGAACAAGTGTGAATATTAGGTAGGTAATAATCATCAAGATTAATTACGAAAACTGGCGTAAGTCCTACTGCGTGATGTTAATCAACGTTGAAGTGTACAGACAATCAACTCCGCTTCTAGTTTTCAATCATTTGTGTTAATCGCATTTAAGAGTTCTTGCAATCGGACTGTTTAGTTAAAGAGGTATACCCGTATGCATGTGTTCCATGAGAATTTAAGTAAGGTTTTTTGACACCAGGTGTATAATTCCTTAATAGTTGTACGAAATATAAATATGGCAATATTTCTATAAGTATATATGTAAAAAAGCGAATGTTTATTAGTTTATTATTTCGTCTAAGCGTATTTAGATTTATAATCGAGGTGTTTGCAAATTCTGAAGACATAGTTTAAGTTATTGTAATTGTAACGCGCCGTAGAGGTAGTACCTACATGCCGATTTGTATCACTTATATATTATGTAACTGATGCACGTATCATCCTAAACCATTATTCGATATGCCTAATTTACATTAATAAAAAAATTATGTTCTTCGCCGTCTCATTACCTCAATAAATTTATTGTTTACAAAACTGTATATACTTGCTATTTGTGTGCTCTTCCGTGCACAGGTACCATTGTATAGCAAAAAGCATGCACTTTTAATTCTGGCGAAGTATGTATGGTGTGTTTCCAAGCTTGGTGATAGTGCTAGAAGAAGTCGAGATATGTCTTCTAACGCAAAACACAGGTGAATTTCAAATATTAATTGGATAGTAACCGGACGAGTCAAGCCAATGCAGGCTTTCTCTTACTCGATTCTATTGCTAAGCAAAAGGGGACGATAGCCTCAATTAATTGCTCTCAGGTTCCTCAATTGATATGTTTTTTATTAAATCTTCTGACAGCATCACAACTGCATGAATGCCCACCTACATTTACCTTGTGTAATCTGAAGCGAAATTTAAGAAATTAGTTACCTTATACTGCTACCGTTGAGTGAAGATATTTAATTACTCAATGCTGCTACTGAGCTATACAAGCAAGAGTAGGTAATTCATTTGGTCATCAGCTGCATCTTTTTATTATGAAAAATCAAAGAAAGCCAGATTTAAAATCTTTTAATGATTGTATGGTGCACGACCTCAACTAATGATCTAGTACTCCATACCTACCTACACCATTGAATAAAAAAGAAAAAAAGCCATCGAATGCCGACCACTTTAAGTAAACGATCGAGCACCAAGCGGCCGCTCCGAAAAGCGATTTTTCCGCTTTTTCGAGCGGAACGCTCGCAAGCAGTACCTAGCTCTGGCATTAAGACTATTTTTCAGAACTTTCAAAACAGAGAAAGGTTTAGAAAGGACGGGGAAAGCTCTAGAAAGAGCGCAGACTCGTTTCAGAACGATGAGAAATATCTGGGTTACCAGAAATCTTTGAATTGGGTTTTCAAAGGTGTGTAAAGGGGTTAGGGGGGATATTCTGTAGAGGCGCTGTAAATTTCAGAAAAGATCTACAAGACCTTTGAATGTTTTTTATTGCTTTGGAAATGGCTTACGAAGTTGCAACACCTATAACGGTGAAGCGTCCAGGAACGGTAGTGGAAAAACTAGAAAAAAGTAATCAATTCAGTGACTTTTGCTTTCGGAACATTTCGTTTGTGCGTTTTAAAAAAATTATTAATTAACTCATTTAATTTTTGTATTTACCTACTATTGCATCTGAACTACTAGCTCTTCTACAATAGGTGGTTGCGGTGGTGGTTAAGAGATAATTATCCATTATGAAAGTTTCCGTTATTTATTTTTACAAAACTATTTTATACAAAATAATTAATAAAATGGAAATAATATATTATGAAGAAAAGTATGTACATATAAATCTAAATAACATGCCAAAATACATAGGTCTCAGACTAAACTAAAAGCTTTCGTAAAAATCTTAAGTACATTTTTTATAATAAGTTTCCCTTTGTTCTATTTTTCTATTATGCTGCTTCATTTCATTCATTAACGCCTGAATTTCGTGCTCCAAATTTTTCAAGGAACTTTCTGGAGAATTTTTAAGAACATCCACAGAGGACTCGACGCCTTTGATTTTTAACATCAATTGAAACGCTCTTTTAAATAGGTCATCCGCTCTGCTTTTAGAATCCTCCACTACTCCCAATTTATTTGACAATTCGATTTTAACGCTATTATATTGGTTTAATAATTTCTCAAACTTCTCGTGCGTATTATTCGCCTCCTTCTGGATGCCTTGCGATTCGTCGATTACACGCTTTGCAAACTCTTCATTGCTCGTGATTTTCACCTGCAACTGAGTTAGCCGATTGCCTAACTTGTCGATTTGATCCGCAGCTTCGTTCGTTTTCTGCTGAGCATCTTCTGTTGTATTACCGATCTATAAATATTGAAAACTGTGAATTATTCAATTGTCCCAGTCTGATAGTTAAATATTATGAAAAAAAATCTAGGATTAAACAATTGGGCATTCTTAGCCACAACCCACCAGGACGAATATGCACAACTATTTGGAATAATGAGTGTGCAGGGGTGTAAGCAGCTGTTAAATGTTTTCAATAACATTTTTTTTAGAACACAAGCACAGACAAAGTGAAAGTCAATACATAAGCAGGTCTTCCTTTTGCATAGCAAGTTGCGTTTATACTTTATGTTATGATTTGTGTAATGAAAATAATGATAATAATACACTTCAATAGCAGACCTACTGGCGTATGTCGGCACGGTAATATTATCCAAACCATGGTTGGAGCCATGCAGAGTAAAAGTGAAACAAGCAATATGCAAAAAGATCATTTACCTTATCTAGCATTCTATTGACTTCATCAATATTCCCTTTCGCACCAGAAATTGCTATACCGGCTTGCTCTTGAGCTAAACTACTATTACCTAATGCCTCCTTTACCTCTTCGGCGACTTTCAAAATTTCGTTGGCTTTAATTCTGGAACAAAACAGTGTTTGTGCCATTCATATCAAATCAGGGTGAGTGCATTACTTAACAGAATCTGCGTCACTTTTCAGTTTTTCAACTTTCTTTAGATCGTCGGCGGTGGCTGCAATAATGGGATCAATGTTTGTCAATGATTCGACAGTGTCCTTGATTTTTTGAGCCAATTCTATAATTTCCTCAGGCTTTTGATCAATTTGCTTTTCTAACACCTAAATAACTTCAATAACCGTACAAGTAAATTGAAAAATGACTACGTACTTCTCTGGCAACCTTTTCAATATCTTCGGGAGTAGAATGGTTCTGATTCAAAAATTCGTTTATGCGATTCTTCATCTTCTTCATCAAGTCCAGCGAAGTGTTTGTGGATAAGAATGCTTCATATGCTCGGTCATGCGCTTCTTGAGCCAGTAACTTTGCGTGAGTCGTATTGAATTGTGATACCTAAAAATAGTAATTTTATTAGGGAAACCTGCGCATCTCCTTACATTTCTTATAAAATCATTAGCCTTCACTTCCTTATCTTTCAGAACGAACTCTGTAGTATTGGCTAAACTTAGTGCATTCTCGGCCTGCTGTTTCGCACCGTTTTCGCAAGAAATCGCCATTCCGCAACTACCACAACCAGCACCGCCACAAATCACATCGCACGGATCACCTCGTCCATCACAAACTAAATTGTTTAGCTCTGGCATAATTTGATACAGCTCGGTGATATTATTTCGTATGTCATCTAGCGAACGTTCATTGCTCGCTTGCATATCTCGGAATTCCTTTTCTGTAACATTAACCAAATTTTCCGTTGCCTTGCACTGTCTTTCTGCATAGTTAATAGTCTCCTACAAAACATCACATTTAGCTATCTACCCATGATTGTGACATAGAAAAACTTCCAAGATGGATCAAAGTCAAGCTTGCTATTATTATGGTTTATTTACGGAAAAATCGCCTTCACTCTCATTATTCTATTAAGTAAACGATATTTGGTGAAAGGATATGTCAGTATAAACAAATGCTACACAGACTAAAAAAAATGGAGATTGTATTTTCCCAAATCTCACCAGGTATTGGATAAAATATTTAGTTTTGACATTTGAACGATCTTGGAAGTTGCGCCCCAGTTAACAGACTTTATTTACCCGAGTTTTTTGAGCTTTTTGATCAGCAAGATTTGCCTTTTGTTTTGCTGTATAAATTAAAGTAAGTGCCCCTTGAACGTCACCTTCTTGAAGTGCTGTTCCGTCTGTTTCTAAATCTTTAATTTTATTCTGAAGAACATCTTTTTCCCCTCCCAAGCGCAGTAATTCGATCTTGGACAGCGTTATACCTTGGGTGATATTGTCAATTAAGTTATACAATTCTTGAATTGGCCCAGATTCTGTATTGTTAATTCGTTTTCCCAAATCAATCAGCTTTTCTTCAATGGATTGTATGTCAATATACTTTGTACTGTTTAGTAAGGCATCAATTTCATGCAATTGTTGCTGCATTTCGTCAAACTCCTTAGTGTATGCACCAGTAGCACCAATTTTCTTAATGTTCTTCGCCCGTTCAATAATAAGCCAGGTTGCGTCTAAGATTAAGAAAATCTGTGAGTGGAACTAAAACTAAAAAAGTGATACTGACTTCTGTGGCCCTTTAAAATCCTATCCCAATTGTCAAAGCATTCTCCACACGGTGTGCACACTGGAGCAGTTCCAAGGTATCCTCGATCGCATTCGTCGCAATTATAACCACCTATACCCGGTCGGCAAACACAGGCACCAGTTTTTCTATGGCATTGTAAGGTCTCAGAGCCATAAATATTACATAGGCATTCTAAAGCGATAGATTTAAGATAAAACATATACAAAATTTTATTTTGATGTTTAGTATAGCACATCATATATCTACAGTTGGGAAGTTGTGGAGAGGGTTAATAGTCTTGTTGCTAACTTCGATAGCCTACTAAACATCAAAAACACTCACCCTGAGTATAGCATGTCTACTTACTAGAGCATTCATTTCGCTTCGGATCACCCCAATAATTCTCCCTACACTCGTTACATTGAAGACCTCCAAAATTTTCTTTACACTTACATTGGCCGTCATACTATGTAGATTATTCTATTATTTCCGTTAAAGAAAACTTGTAGGTACATACCAAGTTACATTGTAGTCTTTCAGATCCAATTGGGTCACAATTACAGGGCACGCACCCGGACCCACTAGCAATTTTCCAATGATTTTCAGCGCATTGATCACATTGTTTACCGATAACGTTGACATGACACAAACACTGACCATTGTAAGCATTACATGGTCCGGCGGAACTATTCGTTCCCAACATATGACAAACGCATTCTGAAATTCGAGTGAAATAATAGTAAAGGATTCTTTGTACTACCTACCCTCAGAAAAAACAAAATGAGGAAGAAGAAATGATAGGTACAAGTAAGCAAGCATTTTTCATGTTGCAACTTTGTTATACCTATAATCTTATCAATATGTCAACATTTCTATCATCTCACACCTACCTAAGTGTGTCAAAATGTGCCCCCCTTTATTTATAAGTACTTGACCAAATAGAACATTTCAAGCACAAGTGGATAAACTGTCACAAGTTTTACAAGACAACTTACCTTGGCATACGTCATTGTCGTCGTATCGATAAAATCCGGGCCTACAAATTTCACATCTATCGCCAGTTGTATCGTAAAGGCATTTTAAGCATTTGCCAGTATGCGGATCGCAATTTCCAAAATCGAAAAGGTCCGTTTTACCGCTACAATCGCATGGATGACACGCACCGCCGGGAAGAGACGGATTACCAAAGAAGTTATTGGCGCATTCGTCACACCTTGTACCTACAAAACTCGTAAAATCGAAAAATTGCCAATAGCTTTACACATACCTCCATAACCTTCTTTGCATTCGCAAATAACGTCTTTAGTGTAGGGATCCAAAGAACAGCGATCTGCGAACGAGTGCCCGGACATCATTACACCCGGACAAGGACAGGGACGGCAAGGAATGTCTACACCTAATCTTGGATCTCCATAATATCCGTCGATGCACCGATCGCAAGTGTGCCCTTCTGTGTTATCTCTACAATTCGTACATGCACCGGTGCGTGAGTCGCAAATATCCGCGTGACCGTTACAATCGCACCGTTGGCAATTTGGAAAGTTCCAAAAACCGGTCCTACACTGATCACATTCACGACCGTAAGTATTCGGCCTACATTTACACTGGCCAGTGGTGACATTGCAGAAATTGTCTAATCCTCCAATGCTGTTACAATCGCACACTGCAATTAAAAAGTTGTCAATGAGTTCCATTTTGCTAATCGTGGCCATTGACATATTCCTATAGCTTAAGTAATGATACAATTGTCTTTTCACTTGTAACCTTATACTCAGAGTGAAATGACAAGAAAGACAAATGCGTACTGTACCTACTGTACATGCAAGGATCATTTGAAATAACCTGTTGCTAAACTCGACAAAAAACCAATTAGTTTGCAGCGTAAAGTACAGAGATGAGTGATAATACCCAGAAGGGGTGGCAGCGATACGTAAACATAAAACATGCCAGAAATCATTATCTTATTGCTACTAAAACGACGAAAAGCGTCCAAAATAAGAGTCTGAGAAATATTTGCAGTCTACTCATGCACAAATGTAAGTTTCTCTCAATAGGCAATAACCGTTTCTACACACTAGTGATGTATGTACCTATGCGAAGCTATTTAGCCCAAAAACAGTAAGGTTTTTTTTTAATTGATCCCGATCATCCGTATGCTGAAGGAAAAAAAGTGAAAGTTCAGCTCATAAACCACCCACAATGTTCTTCACTCACAGCCAAGTCAGGAAAAGTTACAAACAGCAAAATTAGACTTGGCATATATGCTATAAGCCAAACAACCATTAGGAGCAAAGAAGACTGGCACTCCTATAAGGTCTTGTTTTGTCTCACAAGGCATGGTGAATGAATCAAACAATCTAGAAATGTTACTTTGACTCTTGTCAAATAGTTGACTATTCTGATTAACTAATTATCATACCTAATCATTATATCCTTGATGACATAATACAACTTACACGTTATTTATAGATAATAGGTGCATATGGAATATTATGTAATTGTAATATAGTCATTCACTTCACATACCTACTATCAAAATGAGGGAATGAGACATTTAAAAATGAAGAAAATTTATAATAGGTTTTCATTACTATGTATTAGGATTGTATAGAGCAGTGTTTCTCAACCGCCAGTCCGCAAAGAATCTTTGCCGGTCCGCCAAAAATCCACACATCGCGGTCAAATAAGTTGACGTGGGACTCATCGCACAAAGTCCAAATTATCCGCTAGTAGAAGATACGCTTTATAAATAAGACCATTTACGTAGACAAATTCATATGTAATTGGGGTACCTTTGTAAATGGTGTTATTCATAAACGCATTTCCACCCACGAATAATGACTTTTGTACAAATTGGGAACGCGAAAACCGGGTCTCCCAGCTCCAATTTGTGAAATATTTTCCGGGGGTGGACCACCCCTCTTCTTTTTTCAGACCTCCCGGTCCTCAAATATACACACTTATCCTTCGCCGGTCCCTGCTCCACACACGGTTGAGAAACACTGGTATAGAGGGCTTTAGAGAAGCACTCTTTCCCGCACGATAGGCTTGCGCGCGATAGAGATTGTCTTGTAAAGGCAAAATTGTCGCTAGGGAAAGAAGAGAGAAATGCGTGCGGGTTTTGCGCGCCTCATCAGTTGTACGTGAAATGCTGTGGTGCATTGTAGTATGTTGTTTTTGAATTGCAGGCGTCACTAGTTCGAGCAAACGGACTCGTCTGGATAATTGTCTCGTAACTGGTCCAGCATGGGGTTATGATTCTGTTGTCGATAATCCTTGACCCACACGTTCTTTTAGGCCATAATATATGGCAGCGTATAATAAAGCACGTTCACGTGGTGTCATCCGCCCGCAGAATGATTGCAACTGTAACGGCTCAGCTTTTTCAGTTGCGAAAGCGCGCTGTCCTTTCCAAATTTTGGAAATGGCGCCGCGCCACGCTTTCCATCGGGATTTGCATTTAGACGAACGTGCTTTCGTGAGAAAAAGGTGACCAGTGCAAGGCGTGCGTTTTATACCGCGCGACGCATTTTACACCCACTTTTCGATCGCGCGTTCAAAACCTCTCAGGCAAGAGTGCTCGTCTAAAGGAAGCTATATACGTGAGTACCAGGACAATAGATATCAAACCAATTCGATCTCCAATTTAGTTGTGTACAAACTGTGAATATTTCAAAAAACATAGTACCTATATACGTTGAAATGCCGACTTACCTAATTCAATAAATATATATACTTACTTAAAATTTGATTATCTACCTTACAACTCAAACACATACCTACCTTGACGAAAACTTAACAAATGACATAGTAAAAGGTTGATTTCAGCAGTTGAAATCATCCTCATCAATAGACAGTACTATGGTTTAAAAATGATTTTTAAATAAATGCTACATTACCTTTACAACCCTCAGGACCAAAACCATATGTGCCAGGTGCACATCGATCGCATCTTCTACCCAAAACGTTCGGCTTACACAGACAGTTACCACCAAATTCTCTGCATAACTTACTTATTGAACCAGTTGGGTCACATTGACACGCTTAAAAATGATGATAATGAATTATGTACAGAAATCGAAAATAACTTACAAAGACCTCCTTTAAAGACTAATGCTCCAATACTTCGGTAGTACTCGAAGCATTCCTGTGAAATGTCTTCGAAATGGTCATAAAAATCTTTTATGGGACAATGGCGATATTGGCCTGGAGCAGTTTCATTAAACCACGATATTGATTCTATATGAGGGATTAACACCATCTAGAGTTAAACAAAACATTTAGACAGAAACAAAATTAATATTTCACATACCGAATCTATTAATACTGAAGCAGATGGTGTACCATGTCCATAAACGTAATTATTAAAATCTACACGAATTTTATAATTTTCTCCCGCTTCTAAGCATGCAGGTGGCGAAAACAATGCACTTCGGCTTGAGAACGGTAGCGAACCTTGTTTGTAATCGTAAGAGGGATGTGTAGATGCACATGGACCGTTAGGATCGATAGGATTTGGACGTATTATCGTAACGGTAACACTGTCCCAGTCACGATCCATGACAGATTCATAACGAAGGTTGATGTCATAATCCATTGAGGTTTTTATGTCATCTACTTGAAATTCTACCGAACTATTTTCAAAGGCACGAATGAACCCTGTACCAGTCCACGTGTTTTTGCCCCCATCTCTATAGGGTTCTCTGATTACAACTTGGCAAGTCTGTAAAAAAGGTGAAAATCCAAAGTTAGCAAAAAATGATCTAAGAAATTGTTCATAGTTTACTCGTAGGCTTTACAGAATTAGAATTAACGATTCTAAATAGTCTGCAACTGGCTGTGCTTTGAGCTCGTGCAGTAGGACCAAACTGCTTTTAGGTAAGAGTAAGCCTAGGTAGGCGCATCGTCTCTCTACGGCCCAGCCACAATCATACATGAAAAAACTGAAAATCTGTCAGTACTGTTTCCATAGTTTAGATACTACTTGGAAAACTTCAAAAATTAAATAATTATAGATTAATTAATTATTGATAGTATATCGCTGGAATCTTTGAAAATCGAGCCTTTTTAATACAGTCATGGTGATTAGACAACATTTTTCATATCCGGCGTCCATAATGTTTTTCCCATATTGATTGATTTGGCGATGAAATTCAGCTGATTTCAACCCTTTAGACTGGAAAAACGCACAACAGCACGCACTTCGCCATAGGCGGCATTCTCAATCGGTGGCACCATTTTAAAGATACACAACCAAATGTCGAATGGATCACAGTGGGGCAGCACTGCCGCTTGTAATTTACAAAACGGTACTTACTTTAAAAACACGCCTCGTACCTCTTTTTTTTAACCCACCTAATGCCAATCATCCTAGCTACGTGCCCACTTGTCACTTGCTTGGTAAACAGATGGGTGAAGGATAGAACCATGATACCACACAAGAATAATCACCATGGGTAATAAACATAAAAATTAGGATGCAGGTACTTACCACAGATGGTTTTGCCAATTCTGCTTCGTACAACAGAAAATCTAAACTGGCGGTGAAGTATTGTTGCTGAGGTGTATCGCATCTTCGACCAGTCATATAATCGCGACATTTACATTGACCTCCAATTACGTCACAATTATTATCGTAAGAACCGCCCGGATCACAACGGCAAGGTTGACATCCGTCCCTTTTGTCGGAGAGTCCCCAATATTCAGGTAGACATTGATTACAATCCCTTCCTGTGACGTATCGCTTACAAGTGCATTCGCCATTATATATGTTGCATCCCTGATTGTCGATTGTTCCTAATGTGTTACATGTGCACTCTTGACATCCGTGAGGATTGGCAGAGGTGAAGTTCCAAAAACCGTTTTTGCAATTATCGCAACGTCTACCCTCGACATTGGTTTTGCAGTGACATTTGCCTGCCTCGAAGCCATTTACAGAGTCTGTAGTAGAGTCGCATATGCCACCATCCAAAGAACCATGCGGATCACAATCACACGCTAAAAATGTTAGTGTTAAAATTTCTGTTTTGAAAAAATATACTTATATACGTCTGCATATTTCGGGATCTTGAATATCGCGTAATGGATCTTTATAATAAAACGGTTTGCAGTGCTCACAGTTAGATCCCATGGTATTATGCTTGCAACCATCACACACACCGCCGCTAATGCGTCCTGTTTGCTCATATACTGCAGCATCAAAGTGACAACTTGTTGCGTGATTATTACAATTGCACTCTAAAATCAAACAACTTAAGTCAAACAATTGCAAAGTGATACAAAGCTTATACTTCGGCATGCGTTTGTTTGCTTTCCTATAGCCGGTCTCCACGGCAAATCGTTGAAAAAATCTTCACACTCTTCACAATTTGATCCTTTCGTGTTGTGTGTGCACTCGCATTTACCATGCACCATATCAGGCTTTTGATCGATCCCAGCTATAGGTAAACACCGATTTGCATGGCCATAACAAGAACAAGATCCCCTTACAATCATGTTACTGATAGCGTAGTAGTACTTCTCCTATAAAATACTTCAAAATTTAACCGAGCAGCTTAGATAATACCTGTATGTCTTCTCTCTTGTCAAGTAAATCATCGCCGAGTGTGTGCAATTTGTTAAAATTGATCCTTAAGTTAGTCATTTTCAGTAAATTTTGCACTTCTTGAGAGTAAGGGTTGTCTATATGTAACGTCGGGGGAAGTACTCTATATATTAGTTCGCCATCGGTTGAAGGAGATACTTGTGAATATTTCGTCTCACAAAACACATCTGTTAAATTTTTAGAGTTTTCTGACGAAACCCAAACATGAGGGTAACTTCTTTGACAATCATACGCAAAGTATCTATAGACCTGCAATGTAATGGTTATCCATTGGAGCATCAACAAAAAGCCACTAACCTGCCAGGTTTTCCCAAAATCATACGATCGCTCAATGAACATAGCGGCTGGTCGAAAGGTTTTAAATTGAATTATTAGATGGGTAAAATGAAATTCGGCCTCTAAATCTAGTTGTATCGTCACATTTTCTTTGCCATTTTCCGACTGCCACCAAGACAAGTTTGGGGTTCTGCAATTAGTTCTTTACCTGCTTAGGGGCGCATTATTTTAACTTACCCGACATAGTGACGTGACACAATATTACTAATACTATGATTGGAAGAAGGTTGTTGAATTCGTGACGGTCGGGAGTCGCACCAGAAACATTTTTTTTGGTCTTGTAAATAGGAAACTATGCAGTATCGCTGTTTTGAGTAAAGTCCACAAGTAGAAGATGCGTACAATTGCGCTTCTCGGCCAATTAATAGATTTCCGGTGGCGGGATAACACGAGCTTTGATCACAGGGATGCAGTCTGACAGGTACATATTCTATTATGAATGAACAATGTTAGCATAAGGAAAATGTTGTTTAAACAAAGATACGCAAGCAGTGTTAGATCAATTAGAGCTAGAAAACCGTAAACCCCTTCGACACAAAATTAAAGAAGTTACTTTGCAAACTACCAAATCCACACCAACTACTGTAAAAACAATGCCTGACCTCGCCGATGCCAACGTGCTGAAATATGGGTTAGAGGATGTATTTCTTCTGAATTGTCAAAGAAATCTCCATCGGGTGGTGGAAGTTGATCACCCCTTAACACTAGAGGAACTGAATAATCATGCAACATTACAGAACTGATGTAAACCTTTTACATATTTCATATATTATTGTACTACGCCTACCTCTTGTTGAGTATCCGCGAGATCTCTGTCCTGTATATTGTTGACTAGTGACTATAAACAAGTCTGAAACATAGAATTATGGTTATTCTGTTAACAACTCAATACACTTACTACACGAAATAAAGAAAAAAAAAGTCTGCGTCCTGGCCCATATCGATAAATAGGATGGCATCGTCAGTGGATGGTTCTTAATTGGTACCTATTGTCTGAAAAATATAAGATGATAATAGTGGGAGTAATCATAATGATTGTGTTACAACCTAAGAAGGTCATGGGGAAGTGTATAATTCCATAGATTGACTTGTGCAGAAGTAGTTCAAGACATAATAAAAGAAGTTAACTATCATTCACACTGTTAATATTAACTAAAAATAGAAAACATATGACCTTTGAAGAAGATGACTAATAAACTATTTTAGTTTTATGTAATAACAATTTATCTTAAGTCAATAGAAAGCAAAGACAATGGTATTGTTTACCTATCAGTCAATCAAAATGGTTTCAGAGCTCTAGGTACCTTGAATGCAAATAAAAACAAATGACCTGTGAAACTGGATTTGTTCGAATCACTAAATTGATTGGAATTTTAATTTGTGTTTATTATGTTCACTTAGTATACAGTGGTCAACTCCAATAACATTTAATTGATTCATAATAATAAGGAAACGACGCCGGTCGTTCACCATTCCAATTAAATTCACACGAGAATGCATTTCAATTGATATGACGCTTTTTTCATCAGCAAACTTTCACGTTGCAGACTTGCGTGCCCTAAACAATGTTTTAAAACAAACTATCGATGCTGGGTTATGCCTAAAGATTCCTAATGTCACCATATTCAACAAACAGCTTCTTCCCTTTAGAAGATGGATGCCTGTTTCTCCCACGATAACTCAGTTGAGCAACCATTTTCCTACTATCATTCTTTAGTCTGCAATCTTACAGTGTACTGAAGAGGTATGTCTGATATGACACATTGCAAATGTGAAGAAAAGTACTGACTTTATCAATCTACTGTTTACGTTAAGATACAAAGATAGCTAGAGGCGGACAAACATGCATTGGTATAGTACACGATATTCATTTATTAAGCACCGATACACTGCGTTTGGACGTTTCCCGTAGCAATTGGTGCATAAAGATAACGATGGTAACTTATCTCATATACGATCATTCGATAACTTTTAGGGCGAAATAATGTTATCTATATTGCTAATATAGAGAAACTAGTAAGAGCCCTAGGTCCGAACCTAGCGGTGCAGCTCCTGTTGGAACATACCGCCTAGAACTTTGTGATTATAGGCTTCACATTGAAGGCGAGTATTCTAAAAGTGGCATAATAAAAACTGACCCTAACAACAGATTACATTTCTCTAATAATTATTCATAATCAGTAATCACTAATAACATAAAAAAGGTGAACACAAAAAATAAGTAATGATGCATAAAGACGAGAAATAAACATTCCAGAATGGTTAAGTGGGGTTGGCGATTAGTTTAAATAAACGAAACATTTTTGTAGACAAATGTATACGGAAAGTGTGCGGTAAATTCGCCCCGAAAGACTCACCCCGGTAAATTCGCCCCCAATAAATTCTCCTCCGAAAAATTCGCCCTTTAGAAGATTCACCCCATAACATTTATTAACCCTCGGAAGTAATAGGTTGGTTTTGTAACATTAAACAAATAACAATTAAACAAAATTTTATGAACTGCTGGCCTGGGAGCGGAATCGCCGGGAGCGAATCTTCCAGGAGCGAATTTGTCGGGGGCGAACTTGCCGGGGGCGAATCTTTCTGGGGCGAATCTTACGGAGGCGAATAGTCCGGGGGCGAATTTACTTAGGGGCGAGTTTTCTTGGAGGCGAATTTACCGGGGCGAATTTTCGGGGGCGAATCATCCTACAGTCATACGGAAGGTAATTGGTACATACGCAATTTCTTCATTCCATAAGTATTAGCAGAAAAATTAAACATTTAGGCGGGATAGTATGAAGTTAACATTTATAGGTACCTACTTACTAATTAAGTCGAGAACTAAGTATATTTTTGGCAAATGAGCAAAAATGGCATTTCTTTTCTTCTTGTTAGCGCATTTTTGCAAAAATCTCTTTCGGCTGGGCCAATCATAAATCAGGCGTAGGTAGATTTCTTTCTGCCATTTTGTTCCAATAGGTATAGCGGAATTGGGTGATTCACGAACTTGACCGAGATTTATGAGTTACACCAACCCTTAAAGTTCGGGCAAATCTGTTCATAATTACGAAAGTTACGAGTGTTTCTTGAAAGTGATATATATAAACATATAAATATACTGGTACCATTACAATAGGTAGATAGATAGAAATCTACCTTTTCGACAACATCAACTTCATTAATAAGATGTTATAGGATACATAGTCAAATGCACAGACTCGCTCAAAAAATTTTATGATTGATGATGATGAGTAATGAGCGTTAACTGTACGTTAAAAAGCTTAATATGATATAGTAGGTAGGTACCAAGGTTGCATTCGTAAATTTAAAAAAATTCACACACTGGCTTTAGTTTCTATGAATATAAAGGGTTGAATATACCTACACACCAACTGTGTATAATCAATTAACAAAAACCGACACAAAAACTTATTAAATAATAGCTAATACCCAAAGCAGCTGATGCTAAATAAATTACAAAAAAAATCAACTAAAAAATCGTATTAGAAAAATCGAGAGAAAAATGTGCAAAGAATTTGGGTTTGTACTGAGACATCTGAAAGCATAGTCAACGATTGGTCATTGACCATTTCTCAATTGCACAGTGAAATCCGGGAAATCAATACTGTGTGAAACATTAGTTCTCTCGCAGTTTTACTACTGTGACCAAATTTATGGTATTTGAGAAACACTGAAGTCAGAAAAACAATAATTACGCCTGAATTTTGGAATAATAAAGCACACTTCTGTTTCATTTCGCTCCCTCTCCCTTTCTCAAGACACCATAAGTATGTATTACAAATTACAATCCACTGCTACCTTTATTGCTTAGAATTGGGTGTAGTTAAGTGGTAGAGCGGGTCTGGGGTGTCTCACCACATAACTGAAGTTCTCCCAGTTAACAGACTACGTAACATAAAATTTATTATCATTACCAACATTTAAAAGTTTACTTTCCATTAATCACTTTTTGTTTCACGTAATCTAATAAATGTCACTTATTGTTATTATTACTTCCTTCGAAGTACTGAAGTATGTTTCATTATCGAGTGATAACAATAACCTTGACATGCCTTCTGAACTGTCAGACGCTAGACCAGACATTATTGATAAAATCTATCCAATTGCATGAGTAGGATTTAAACAAAGAGTAGTACCTACATAGTATAGATATTAGTCAAAAGTATGAATTAAAAAAATTGCCTTCGTCGGCACAAGGTCACCGGCGGACCTTAGAAAGAAGTTTGACTCACTGGGAAAAGTCCACTCAATACCCCCCTCCCTGCCTTTTGTCAAAGGTTTTGTTATATTTAATAAGATTAACATACAAAATTAATACTAACATGTTCATTTTAAGTAAAAGACTTTTACATTTTGGGTAATATAGTCGAAAACCTCGTCGAAAATATTTACCATAACGCGAAATAATTGGAATTTTAATTATTCTCAAATCGGGGGAAGAGTTGATACCTGATACTTTGACATATATGCCTGGCGTCGCCGCCTCTTCCAGGATTTGGTCAACTGGATTTTGTAGATTGGGGGGGTTGTGGGAGGGGGGGCGTAATAAAAATTATGTACACACTCCATGATGACATTTTTTATAAAACGCGAACGAAATCACAGATGTTACGAATTTTGACCATGGTTAAACAGAGCATTTTAAATCAAATTGTACCATGTTGATTTAACAGTTGAACCTCGAGTTGAACTGAGAAAATTGAGGATAATTTTTCAATTTTACCTCATCGAATTTTACTGAAATTAAATCGACATGATACAATTCAGCGAGCAATTCAGCTTAAATTTATTAACGAGCTCCTAGCGAGTTCATAACTTTATTATGTCTGTCCGCATGTCCGTTACCCCGATATCTCGGAAACGAATGGACCGATTGCCATGAATTTTGCAGGTCGATTCTTTATCAAATTTGTAGAGCTTCCGCCCTACAATAAGCGATGCCAATCTCGGCCCACACCCGAACTCGTTTGGTACATTTGATTACACATTTATTTATTAATGAATCAGTATGCGCGAGAGTATGCGTCAGTACCGAACTTGTTTAGGCGTCTATTGATGGGATATATACACACAAACACGAATTACTCTTAAAAATAAAAATAATTTTAACATCCGCAAGATGTACAGAACCATCTATCTGAGACAAGTCATCGCATTATTCGCATTTAGCTTTAATTGTTTTTTTTTCATTTCAAAAACCAAGTTTTTCGTACAGGGTGTGCGCTGTTTTGAGGTAGTAATTTGCTTTTCAAAACTGGAATATTCCCGTCCAAAAACCAGATTAAAAACCGTTATTAAGTCAAATAGGTGTTACCTTGAACTGTTCTTAGTAAATAATTACAAATGTTAGCACGTATCTATTTCTCGGAGATATCGTCTTAATTTACATCTTGTCTAAGAGCACCAAGGGTGCAAAGCTAATTAATTTGACACTGGTCTGCGTTAGCGCCGCTACATAAAAAGCGAGATAAAAAGCTGATATAGCATATAAAATTCGAAAAATGAAGTTTTGAGCTCATACTATGGAATTCATTCATGTTAAGTTAGGTATTAGCTTTACATTTGCACTTTATATAATGTTATGAAATATCAAAGTCCCACAAAGCTTTTGATTGTTGTAAAAAAAAACGTATAAAATACGTTTTACAGGGCCAAACGGATGTTCAGAAACGCGCATTTAAGGAACACCCGAGGGAACACCTCTAATTTTTCTAAAGCCCTCAAAAACCTTCCGTGCACACTCTAAAACTATATAAGCTTCGTAAGTTCTAACGAAACATTGAATATATCGAAAGAACACATAACGCTCTGTAAAAGCCCACAAAGTACCTAGAAAATTCTGAAAGAATCGTAGAGCTATAACATGAGCCCGAAAAGCTTTAGAAACAACCCAAAAGCTCTATGAAACAGATGAAAAGTGCTCTGGAAATCGACTATGGAAAGCCTCAGTGTGCCTTTTTAAAGCCTCCTCAGTGGCCAAGAAGTTCAACGAAAGCACCAAAAAAGACCGTTAGTGCTTTTTTAAGTTTTTCGTATCTATTTCGGTATGCCCTGCATTTTGAAATAAATACGCGCGATCATAGCTTTCGTAAGAAACCTCTGTAAGACTCCACTAGTGGAAATGTGATAGGGTGTACCAAAGATTAATGTCACTCTTACATTGCATCGACCATAAACTGGATGATTAACGTTGTACTTATGCTAAGGCATAGGAGTCCATGTACTCCTCTTATTTTACACAGTGGTGTTAGCTAAAACTCGAGCTAAAAATATTTCAAAATTGTTTCTGTTTTGTTTTATGACACTTTTCAACACGATCGGCCACTTTAAAAAAGAATTATAGCGCACACGGACGGACAGACAGACGGACAAAAATTAAAAGCTATAAAAAGTATTTATAACAAAGAGTTATAGGGAACACAGACGAACGGGCGAACAAAAGGACGGACAACCATATAGAAATCTCTATAAAGGATCTGAGGACGAAGTCAATTTGCGGCATAACCGGAAGTCGTACAAACCTGAAAATGTTTTAGCTGAACCGGCCCATTAAATAACCCATGTTTCGGATATAACAATTCGTCGTTAGACAACTTCTACTTTAATTCCAAGATCGATGTATTTGTAGCTCGATTTGTAGATTCCCAGAAAGATTTCTAAATTCCTAGGAACATCTGGCAACTCCTTCGAATATATCCAGATAAATGATGTAAATTTACAATTACATTTGTGAGTAAATTATTAACAAAAATAACTCATATGGCCCTTCTGCGGTTTTCTGCGCTACGGCTACCCTTAAAAACCTTGACAGAAAACCACCCAATCATGCATTCCAAATTTTATTTTCAAAATTTAATTTTTGAGACTGCTAGAGTGGATTTTGTGACATATCGGGATTTCCAAAACAAAACCTTCCTTGCACAATTGACAATCATTTTACTTGCACGACAATGAGATTCACTTTTCAACCACTGCAACTCGGGTATTCGCATAATTGTGCATTAATTAAATTTTCAAAATTAATTTCCGAATGCATGTTGCAAAAACGTTCAATCGACCACTTACTAAAATTTGATTCCATTTAGTAGAGTAGTTTTCTCTTCATGAGGCTGTAGCGCGAGAGACCCAAAAAAGAGCACTTTTTATATTTTACGCTCAAAAATTTAAAAAAAGCCTCTATCCTCATGCGAGTAGGCCTCGAAAGTACCTTGCCGAAAGGTCCATGAAATATATGTTCCCCATTTCCATGAAAAAATCCATCCATCATTAGAAATTAGAATTGGATTTACCTACATAAAGATTATATATTTCCTCCCTGAACGGCGTGATGCCTATTTCGTTCAAATACATCGATTTCTCTTTTTCTTTATTTTTTCGGATACCATTTGTAATGATTGTTTTCAATTAGCAAAGTAGTAGACTAAATCCTACATTTATTGCAAGAATTATCTGTACCGAATATTCGCAAGTAATAGCAAATTTTAGATAAATACACGTTTTATTCATTTAGACAGCGGGCGGGATTTTTCACGAGCGTACAATTTACCGCGCGGTATTTTTCCAGCCGGGAAAATGACCAGATAGGTATCTTTTACACCTGCCAAAAACTGCTACTGACCCATTTCCTACCTACCTGCCTACTAAGGTAAACACAAATCAAATTAGCGAAACAAATTTGAATGTCCGATGGTAGTTTTTTTGTTTCTTTTAGTAAATATGGCGATTCGGTATGAAGAGGAAATTAATTAGCTTTATAGGTATCTATTGCAAAGTTAAGTTTTACAATTGCATTATAGAGCAAGAACCGACACAACTGTCGCCGAAATGAGATCATAAGTATTAAATTTATTTGGTACAATGAATAAGAACGCTTTTCCGTAAAAATCGAAAACAAAGTATTGGCATTTAACCTTCTATTAATAGCGATTAAAAGTAGAATTAAAAATAGAAAGGCTATTTACCTCTGCCAATGTTTACCTGCAAGAACACGTGCACTTGTATTTGAATTTGTTGAATCACAGAAGTACGTAAGAAGAATCACCAAATTTAAACATTATCTCCCCATTCAATTTGTCTTTCTTTCACTTAACATTTTAGTTGCAAGACGAATCAAAAAGAAAAGATTTTAACGTTCACGTTTTATTCCTGAAACATCATCTTTGATGATTTAGAAGAGCGTCACTCATTTGCTTCGCACCACACAGATGGACCGTACTGTTCTGACTGTAGGAAGACGTACAGTAAAATATACCAACTTCTCTTTTCAATCAGAAGCTGTCCTGTCCCTACTTACTGTCCGTGCGTGCAGCCTACTTAACGTAAATTTAATGCAAAATCTCTACACACCCTCCTTATTCCAAGAGTAAATAATTATTTCACCATTTGCGACCTTATTCGGTTACAAATTAACCAAAATAGATCAAAAATGGCGCTCCATAACAGCGACAAAGAAAATAGGGCTTGTAAAAACCGTGGGATAAGATTTACTCCGACTACTAACATTCCTTTTAAAGATAAAGAACATATGGCGTGCACTTGTGATGCAGACGTTGAATTAGGCTTGATTAGTAAATTTAATATTCGCTTTGTCTATCCGATTTATATCGATCAGGATAACCGATAGGGGTGTTTCGAAAATTTAAATTTGGAGGTTCATTACAATATCAGACAATTTCGAACTATCTATCTACATTAAGTTTTATCATTTCCTTCCTTATTGTAATGTGGGTGTCCGATGATAACCCGGCATCCGGATAGCAGCTTCTCATTCATTTGACAAATTCGCATTAATTTAATTCTTTGAACATTTATCAACTTCGCGCTAACACATTTCCATCACCAAACCATTCAGTAAATGTAAAGTCATGGGATAGTAATCATATAAATAGTTTCCACATCGCACAAATGAAATATAAAATGCATGTTCCAACCAAATGCGTAATGTAGTACAACGTGAAAAACACCTATTAGATAATCGCAACGAAGACACAAGAATATGAACAAGAAAAATCGGGTGGTAAATGCGTGGGGTTACTTTTTTTTCGGAAGTCCTTCTATAACACCCCTTAAAAATGAGTGACTAGCTATGAAATACACATTCACCTAGCATTGTCAACAGTAAATCTAACGCTTACAATTTGTTTATAAGTATTGTCCACTATAACACTTTCTTAGACAAAAATCTTCTACCGGGTGAATACTTTCAAACCGAACATAGGGAATTAACATGGGAAAACAGTTTTTCGCAGATTGTTATTGCTGCCTAAATTAACTTAGAGAGTTCATAATGCCACCATTGGAAAGAAGTAGTGCGGCATATTGGAAGGCCTATTGATATGGCCACCTTGACCACAATCCCGAAACTCGGTTTTGGTCACAACGCCTAACTTGATCTTAGCAACAACGCCAGTATTTAAAATCACTTTACGACGCCTTAGAAAAACCACTTTGAAAAATATAACTCGGCCGCCATCCCTAATTAGAAATGATCCCAGCGTCCACCACAACGTCCAATTTAACCACAATCCCCAATTAAAAAATGATCACACACAACGTCCAACTTGTCCACAACCCTCAACTTTAAAAACGACAACTTGGCCTAACGTCCAATTTTTGGAGTAAAAAAATCCGATACAACTGAATACCGAACGATCCTCGAGATCTTCGCACACACATCATTTTTACAATACACCTTAAGGGATTTGATTCTGTCCAATCAGAGCAGCATATAGCTTGTAAAACAAATTTTTGAATCGGCATTAGTTTTACTTTTATTCGAGGTCCGTATATACAAAATCTCATTTAAATATCTGAACAAATAAAAGACTTGAAATTGCGTATGCGCAAAACAAGTTTTTTGATCGGCGTCAGTTTTACCTTTCATATTTCATATTTTCATAGCAAACGGAGATGTCAATAAATCGGATTGCGCATACGCAAAAACAAATTTTTTTACCAACATCAGTTTTACTTTTATTTGAGGTCTACGTACCAAATTTCAGATAAAAAAATTGGGATTGCGCATGTGCAATTTTTGTTCATCTGCATAGTTACCTGATGTTTAAGGAATATTTACTAACACAGAAAACCGGACATTCATATATTCTTTGTAACAAGAATTATAAAAGAAACCCTTTTTTGGAGGTTTGGGCACTTTTTGGGCTGTAACTTTTTGGCCCGTTAGTCTACGTAGCCGAAAAACAATAGCGACCTTTCTTATATCCCGAAGAACGTGTATCAATTTTCAAAGCCATCAGACGTTTCTACACAAAGTTATCGTGCACACGGGCAGACAGACGGACGGACGGACGGATGATCACTTCTTATTACTTATTGACATTACTAAAACAATTGGTACTATATCGGTGGAACTCCCACAGGGGTTCTTTTTTAGGATCGATATTAAACAATTTACACAATCTTCAATACAACTTTTATGTAAAACGGCGACTTTTGTTCGGTCCCAGAAATGAAACACATTCGAAAGATGTTTATGATAAATAAAAATAAAAAATAATTTGGTTACGCATGCGCAGACCAACTTTTTGAATCCGCATTAGTTTTACATTTACTCGAGCTGCTTACATAGGTACAACATTCCATTTAAAATCTAATTTTTTTGCATCTGCATAGTTGCCTCCCTTGGTGCGTCTAGACACGCTACCGAACCAAATAGCGAAAAATTCCTTTCTTGGTACATGCCTCGACACCATAACGAAAAAAGTAGAACAATAGCTCTTAAGATAAAGATCTAGTAGCGGCAGAACCGTAGGGACGGATAGACGGACGGAGTGCAAAGCATTTTTTTTAATTATTGTGGAAATGTGGTAAAAATTAAGTACATAAATACATACATTGGGTCGTCAAAAACAAAGTAAAGTTACATTGCGTAAAAATTGGCGATAGTAACATAGTCACCTAAAAAACATCAATCGAACTTAACAGGATAACAGTATAATAAAACTGGAACAATCAAAAACCAAAACACCAACATACCTACACGGGGAACGATGGATCCAACCCAAAAAAAAAAAAAATACCTACACATTAAAATATTCCGAGAGGGTGTATATTCCATTCTTGATTCTATTTAAAAATTGAATATTAAACCAATTTTCGGCTAAACCGGAAGTAACAAAAACAATTGAACTTCCAGAAAAATGCAAATGTTTGTCTTATCTAATCCCCAATTTCATTTCTTTATCTTGAAAAGTGAAAAAGCTCTATCACTGGTGGTCTGTGAGTCAATTTTTTCACTTATACTTAGGTATTTGCACAAAAATAAAATTAGAACTTCGGGACAGGATTACTATGTCAATGCATACTTTTCTTGAGTGTAGGTACATAAAACATACGCGCGATGAAATACTTCGTTTGTTTGGGATAATTGAACCTAATATACAAATTGGAAGTGCATCTGAATGCATGCATATTCTGAAAAATTGCATAAATGCTTGCATATTTTAGAAGATTTAAGTAAGCATACCAATACCATATTATAACAAATACTTATTTAGCAATTTTTAGAATCGGGAATACATATCTACATGCTTTATATTAAGATCTCCTAAAACTTCTTAATGGTTAATGCCTCATTTTCACATCTCATTTCATAAAATTGCATTGCGAATTATCACTCAATATAATGATAGGATAAGTTCTGTCCTATCGAGTCTCTTGTAATATGAAAAATAATTATTTGATGTTGTATTCGATTCAAATAAGCTTAGATGGAGTTCAAGTAGAGTAGCTTAAAGATCAGTCAGGAAAACGTACTTGTGCTACTGACATTTTTCTGGTGATGCTAAAGGAAATGTGTCAAAAGTTTTCAAGTAGGTAATTCAGCACCATAAAAATGCAGGCATGTACCTACGACTTTCAGTAAGAAAGTTATAAGGTGGTTCTATTGCACAGAATTCTAATTAAACAAATTCGGTATAACGGTGCTATAACAAAGAAACACTGAATTTGGATAATTGAATGGAGAAGTTGGGTGTTGTGGTCATTCTGAAAAGTTAAGGGTTGTGGTCAGTTCGAATGGTAATTTTAAAAGTTGTTGGTCATTTTAAATAGGGGCGTCGTTGGAGGTTTGGAGGTTGTGATCATTGGGCGTTGTGGTCTGGACCCAATACAAATCTCCAATAAGCACAAGGTACTTTGATTAACATTTTGCCTTGAACGTTTCTTCTTCTCCCTGAAAATATGACCTCATGAAATGCTTAAGTATTCCTCACTGCCCTCGCTCGGAATTGTGGAATTCAAAATATATTCAATATAGTTTTACATACTGACACCCAAAAATTTAGTAATATTAAAAATGTACCCGAAATGATTGTTGGTAATAGTGCAATTTCTGAACGTTGATAACGTGAAATAGAATTGTGAATATGTTGGTGCTATGAACAGTATATATTATCCCAAAGTAAGCCTAATTAATCGATGATTAGCGATTTAACTGTATGTATTTTAGAATTTTTGCCGAATTTGCAACCAGTGTTTCTGTTGTATAAATTGTAGACTGAAGCACGAGAAAAATTATCATCATGTGCACGTGGATTGTGATATCTGCATTTACGGGAAAGCCATTCTCAAATATCCCACAGAAAAAGAATTGTTGCTACACATAGAAAACGAACACTTTCCGGTGCACTGCGTACGTTGCAAAACCACATTTAAATCGACGCATCAATTATCGCTTAACAATAAATGCAAGGCAAAGCATGAAAAGCACGAAATGGTGTTAATTGACACGGACGATCACTTTTCCTCGCCTCCAATCACCGCTACAATGCATAAAAATCCACTAGAGTTTAATAACACGGATTTGAGTACATCAAGCAATAAATGTTATATCACCACCAGCACCCCCATGCAAAAATCGAACGAATGGGGGGAGTTCGAAAAAATGTCCGCGGCAATTACACCGGTAGATTATTCGGAAACTTCGTCGAATGCTGGATTGCATAGTTCAAAAAAAACCTTCATGACACCCATGTCATCGGACCTACCACAGAATATTGAAGCGCAGATAAAGCGAAAAGTCACATTTTGCGAAACGCCAATGATTAACAACCACAACTACCAGAAACCAAAAAGAAATACTGTCAATGACGGATCTTTCAAAAGCCATTCACCTTGTAAGACTTTAGTTTTCTTTCTTAACTCTTAATTGTGTCTTTGGTGTTACAGCGATTTTGAAGAACGCTTTCCTCGAAACAAAGGGTTAGTGTATCTTGTACAAGAGATGATATTTTATTAGATATTTTCAGTGAGTCGAGATGAGATTAACAGCGGCACAGTTTGGGATAGCGCCTTGTCAGATCAACAAACATCTCATAAATCTATTGATATATCTGTGAACATTCAGGCTGTCTCTATACAGGGACCCGCGCCAGTTCAAAATTCGCTAGCCACGGTAGCAATACAATCATATTTAAAGAATACAAAATTGGAAGCTACAGAATCACTATGTGAGTAGGTACTGCTGTAAATTAACAGGTAAAAAAACTATTATTTCAGCAAAAGACGCATTGAAATCGCGGTGTATGTCTGAGACTGACCAATTATTATACTTATCATCCGAATCAAATAACGCATCGTCTTCAATGAAAAAGACGTCAACCGCTGAGTTTGTTTGCGAGAAAGTATTTGTATCTAACTCGATTTTGGGTATTTGCATGCGCGAGTATTGCTCTATTTTAACCAATATTTTTAGTTACTAGCCCTACTCGTATTCCTGACGGTGAAAGGACAATGGATACCGAGCGTGATAAGTCGATAATTAACAAACACTTCAGTGCAGACCATTCTAGTCTATGTAGCGGGTCAGAGAATACTTGCGAATTTAGCTTGGAAGGTGAGGTCTCTAGTAAAAATGAACAGGAGAATAAAGGGCTTTGGTCTTCGGTAACCAAAGCTTGGAAGACAATGTTGACGGGTCTCTCAATAACATCTACGGGTAAGCAAAGTGTGTGGAGAATGACGCACAATTTTGGTTTCACAGAAGCCCAAAATGAAGAAGTTGAAGAAAAAAATATGAAAAGAATCAGATCGGAGGATTCGTTATTGAATGGACCACCAGAAAAGCGAGTAAAAATTGGAGACATTAAGTGCCGAAAAACCATACATTCAGTTCCCACCTTTAGATATGTCACGTATACTAAAAAAACTGTTTTATATTACGATAAGGCGACGCAAACTAATTTTTAACTTTTAATATTTTAAGAAATTTTTAATTAATGTTAGGGTTAATTGCTTTGACTATAAATACATGCATTTTATCTTTTTGTTGAGACTTTTGAGGTGTACGAAAGGAATGATCAGGGGAATCCCAGCTAACACAAACCTCTCTGAGACTTCGCGTTTTGGCCTGTTTTAGTCGCATTGTGAATTACACGTAGAAGTCACATAGATATTGCACTGCAGTTGAGATTTTGAAATTTGGGGCTAAAGGAATTCAATTTGTGATACCTTTTCGGATTTGGCAGAATTGCTTTTTAGAGTCACAAATGAACTAATATCTGACATCATGCAATTCCTATGTTTCAACTGTGTAATACATTGACTCTGGGACGTCGCGATTTTTGTTGTTTCAGTTGCATTGTGAATTACATATTTCACATCGCATGGATTTCTTATGATAGTTACAATTTAAAGTTTAGGTGTTACATCAATTAAAAATGTGATACTTTTAGACTTCCTTCAAGATGCGCTTGTTTCATAACCGAATCGTTCACACCTCACTGAATTTTTTCATTTTCACCCTTAATTTAAGGTATGCAGATAACTAAATAGAAAAAATAAAAACCAGTATGCAAGCTCCTGATTACGGGTTTGTATTTATTATTATTTAGCACTGCAATATATATTCGTCATACTTCCATGCTCCATATAAATCAGAAAAAGGATGTGCCTATATGAAGCAATAAAAATGAATAAAAACAAAAGATGTTTACTTCGCGCGCAATGCGTTGCGTGGGCAAGTTAGGAATCTTCCTAACCAACCGTCCATTACGAGTTACGAGGTTACGACGCGACGCCATTTCTTTCCTTTACACAAAGCTTTACATAAAATATTATCACAGATTTAACTTTGGCTTTACTTTTTGCTATCCGTATCGTACGTACTTGTTCTGCGGTTTATGCGTTGTTTTCGTGTGTACTGTGTATTCTCTTTCAAGGTAAGTATTCTTCCACTAACCTAATTGTTTTTCCCCATTTTAATATAATGCCTCGCTATAACAGTAAAACCCCAATTAGTTTGTTAAGTAGTCGACAAAGACGTCGTCGTAGGGCATTGATACTAACGTCATTTTCGTTAAATCGAAACTTTTGTACCAAAAACAGTGATTTAGTTTCAGAACGGGTAGTTGTTAGTAACGATGTTAACAGCAATGACTCCGTCAATGATAATTCAATTAATCCTGTCCCTAATTCATCTCCCCTATTGAAGCCAGACTTCCCTATCGATTTCACTAATAGAAGTGTAACAGATCTAAGTACATTGAGCACGAGCTCTAACAACAATGCTTTGTGCTACTTTCAAACCGATGAGACTCCTTCATCTTCACGTAACGATAAGAGAGAGAATTCTTTGTCAAATGATTTAAGACAGTGGTTAATAGAATTCAATATTAGTCATCAAGCAGGTAATAAACTGCTATCAATTTTAGGTAATCACAATATAAAAAATCTACCGAAAGATACCAGAACACTTCTTAAAACTCCACGATCGGTGCAAATCATCCCTGTGTCGCCCGGACATTATGTACATTTCGGCATTAGAGTGGGCCTGTTGAATTCTTTGCAAAAATATTTTTCAGAAGAATCTCCTGACATAGTTTACATTGATTTCAATGTGGATGGCCTCCCCATTTCAGGTAGTAGTTCTAGCCAGTTGTGGCCTATCCTATCAGCCATTGCAAGAACAAGTTTTTACACAGAGCCCTTTGTAATAGGGATTTATCATGGTTATTTTAAGCCAAAAAGTTCTAACGATTATCTAAAATTGTTCGTTGATGACTTAAAGGAATTATCGATGTCTGGGATAATGTTTAAAAACAAAAATATTAAAGTGGTACCAAATGCATTTATATGTGATTGTCCTGCTAAAGCTTTTGTGGCATGCGTAAAATATCACACTGGCCACAGTTCATGTTCGAAATGTATTATAGAGGGCGATTGGTACAAAAATAAAGTAGTTTTTGATGAAATCTACACAACTTTGCGGACTGATGACTCCTTCTTGCAAAGAAGGGACGAAGACTTTCATCAAGGTACATCAATTTTAGAGCCGTTTGTGGGAATGGTTTCTCAGTTTGCCATTGATTACATGCACGCCGTTTGTCTAGGTGTTGTAAAAAAAATTATGCTTTTATTAGTGCAAGGCAATGTTAGTGTAAGGTTAACAAAATCTCAATTAGATGAAGTCTCTTTGAAATTAATGTCTTGCAAAGGTAATATTTGCTGTGAATTTTGTCGAAAACCCAGGTCTTTTGATGAATTGTGTCGTTGGAAAGCAACAGAGTTTAGACAAATTTTGTTGTATACAGGTCCAATCATTTTTAAAGATGTTTTAAAGGTCGAACAGTATAATCACTTCATGTCTTTAAGTGTTGCAATCAGAATACTTTGTTCAAGTGATCAATATTTGTATTCTTATGCAAATAATTTATTAATATATTTTGTTAAAAATTTTGATGTTTTTTATGGTCGAGAACATATTACTCATAATGTCCATAATCTCTTACATTTATATAACGATGTGTTAAAGTTTGGCCCCTTAGATAATTTCAGCGCCTTTAAGTATGAATCAAAGTTATATAACATTAAAATGAAGGTTAAAAAATCGTCAAGACCATTACAACAAATTTCAAACAGAATAAGTGAGGAGCTTAGCGCTTTTGTTCAACCGATCCCACATTTATATCCATACCTAGAGCACTCCCTAGAGAATAATGATCAAGAAGAATTTTTTGCCCGACTTCGTTTCAAAAATTTTTGTTTGATGACCAAGCCGCCTGATAATTTGTGCCTGCTAAATGATGGTACTATGTTTGAAATTATTCGCATTAAAAAAATGCTGCATAGAATTCAATTGTACGGAAATGCTTACCCAGCAAATTTGCAGTTTTTTGAAAAGCCGATTAATTCTCTAAAACTAAACATTTCAATGATCAATACTTACTCAACTCAAACATGGATTCACATGGAAGACATTTTAAAGAAATGTGTAAAACTTCCTGTAGGTAGAAGTAATGATTTATTTGTAGTCTTACCACTTGTTCATTTATAGAATTGAATACTTTCATGTACTTTCATATGCAGAGCATAAATATGTATAACTACCCGTTATATCCTTTTAAATGGACTATGTCAAACCATTGAGAAATGAGGTAAATAACAACCAATTAACAAATGCCATTCAAAATGTGATAAGTTGACGGTTTTGCTAAGCAGTTTTAATTGAAAAAAAAATACGTTAAAGATGAACTAGAATTAGAATTTGAAACATAAAATGAGAATTGACATTAAACATAACTGGAAATGTCAAACTTGAAATAAGTAATGAATAACATTTGTGTATCGGTGTTAAGTTGCTTAATATCTAACAGTTTGATGTGTTTCATTTAATAGGATACGAGATTGGTTGCGTATGTTAAAGGCATTTGACATGTAAATTTTAAAATTGAACATAGGAGTTTTGTAATTATGCAGGAGATTTGTATGTTCAGAGTTAAAATTTACGCACTGTATATAAGTATAAATTTCAATGATTTTCAATAACAAGTGTATACAATAATTTTAGTTTTAGTAAATAGTACAAGAATCTGTACTTGTGTATTCTTTTTGATTTGTTACAGATGAAATATGCTGTTGTCTGTTTTTTGGATGAGGTTGTAGACAATGAAATGGTTGTGTCTGAAGTACCAGCCACATGGCTGTTCAATAACAATACATTTTGTAAATGGCCGCCAAATCATCAAAATATTCATATTAATAAAGGTACAATTCCAAAAGATAATTGGACAATTCATCGTGTCCGTTGTGAATCGATATGTGGTAGGTAATCGTTACTCTTTGATATATATATGTAAATTAAAATTTATCATTACAGATAGTTTAGAGCTGGCCAGAAAAAGGTGCACTATCGTTAGTAGTAGTGACGAATGTGGCAAAGGTATGCGAAAGAAAAAGCCCACCAAACATTACCAAAATTACTATAGAACCTGCGAGTCTCCACCATCTTTTGATGATGTGCAGCAGTGTAAGTTTAAATCAGTTACACAAATTGTCCTGAAAATTGAATAGAATTTTTAACTTTTGTATTACTGTAGCTCTCAATGAACAAGGTTATGAAAGTGAGACACCCTACTCTGAAAAAACAGATTCCCATAATTCAGAAGCGTCGTATTGCCCTAATTCTCAGCAAACAGGAGGACATATGGATAGCTTTCAGCCATCATTAGACGCAGAGCGGTCAATGATAAGTACAAACCCAGGTAATTTTAAATAAAAGCAGTTGAAATAAGATACTTAACTGTTCAATGTTGTAGTAGTTCCAATTGATGTTGATCCATTGAGCTACAATTCTGGTATGTTAACTTCAATACTGTATTATTAAATTATTTTATATTATTTCAGATCATACTAATAATTCAATGTCTGCTAACATTCCTCTCGTAATGAGAGACACTGATGGTTTGTATATTATTGTATAATAATTAGAATTTGATAGATGTTTTAGTTGAAGCTCCACCTGCGTCTGAAATTTTGTACCAAATTCCTCGCCAAATTCCAAATATTACGTACAATAGTACAAGTAAGTTTGATTTGTTTTTTTTAAATTGACATTAGCACTGTAGTAGAAACTCAACTTAAGAAAATTCCTTTCTGCAGTAAACATAAAATAATCACTGCATCATATACCTTTTTGCAACTACTAAGATTTACATATATACCTACTTTTAAGGTTGTGTGGAGAAAAAATTGGACCAAGTGTTAAGAATGTTAACAGCCATCAAATTGGATCTAGATGAACTAAAATTGAAGAATGGTAAAACCAACCAGCCTGATCAGGTTTCCATACCAGAGTTTCCACTACAATCTGTAGAAGATTTAGAAACGTTTGAAAGAAACCTACAAACTGATGAGGAATTTAAAGTAAAAGTGGTAAGTGTCCGTATCAGTATTAATTCCTGTAAATTCACTAAATATTTTCAGATTAAATACTTTAAATATGTAGGAGGAACATCTTTAAGAGATATAACTACTAGATGTCTTAAAAAAAGTTTTACAAATAGCTTGTGCGAAAAATGTTCATGGAAGGGCTGGAGAAATAATAATTATAAAGTTGAAGATTTAATTTTAATTAAATGTCTTTATGGTAATTACTCAATTTCTTTTTTACTAGCTATAATTTGTACCTTTTACAGATGCCATTTCTTCAGTTTTCCAATGCACTGAAAAGGAGTTCGAAATTATGGTACGGGATTATTTGCGTCATGGAAAGCAACGCCGAGAACGAGAAGAAAAGAACAAGTCCAAAAACGATGTTGTTTAATATATTGTAATTATTTTCAATAAATTCTATATCGCCGTGTATACTTTTAAATGGAGTTACAGTAATTTTCTGCCGGAGTTTCTGAGCATTACAATAGAAATTACATTTACTTGTATAGCGAATTAAAGCAATTTAATGCAAGTCTCATAGGAGTTAATTTTTGCATATGAAAATATGTTATTGCGAGGTTACATTGCGAGTCCTTTACTACAATATGTAATTTAGGATTGAACTCTCAATGCGACCTCAAAAAGGCGGACATTTGGCGCTGAAAAGGAGGTACTTGTTTCCTATTTGATATTCTAAAAGTAATTTACACTGTTACATGCGAACTCTGTGAGATTCTTGTGAAGCTCTTGGGGAGTTAGCAGTGTTGACTGGGTGCTGCCTTTCTGAAAATTTTTGTAATATGTTATTCCTCTCCGTTTCTTGTAATTTTAGCAGTTGTAAATTAGAATCAAATTCTAAATTTATTGCATTGAAGGATTTGCACACTAAATGAATAGAAGGACTATCACCTTCCAGAAGTGTTATACTTTGTGTTATGGGCTTTAAAAGGTTTATTACCCCCTCCACACTGACCCAAAAATCCTCACTTAGGATAACGGGTTTTATAGTATGAACAACTTTTTGTGTGTCTTCTGTTATACTAAGTCTTTGCAAGGCAAATTTGCACTTAACGAGATCTTCCATTGATTTAACATGTGAACCCCACCTTGTTTTGACAGGCATACTTAACGAAGTTGTAAGTTTCATGTCCTTTTTTATTTCTTCTAGTTTTGCTCGCAATATCTGACTGGACATTATGGTCTTAACAATATTCTTAACAGACACAATGATCTGCTCAACAGATTCTACTCGCAATATATCTGAGCACATCAAATGAAGAGTGTGTGCCATACAACCATATGACACAATATGGGGATATTTCTCTTGTATGTTACGTGCTGCTTTACGCATATTAGCGGCATTGTCGGTAACTATTGCGCTAAATTTATGTGACCCATATTTCTCGATTATCTCTAACATGATACCTTCTAAATAGGTAGCAGTATGACTTGCAGTGCCACTTAAAACAGACTTGACAAATAAAGGGCGCGGGGTTGTGATGATAACGTTAATGACACTTTCGTTTCTTAAATTTGACCACCCATCACACTGAAGGGCCAAATTTTCTGAAATGTTCAAAGTTTCCTCCACATGAATTTGTACTCTCTCAAATTCTTCGTCAAGTAGACGATGTGATAACAGATATCGCCCAGGTAACGTAAAGGAGGGTCTCAGTCTTTTAAAGAATAGTTTCCAGTTTCTGTTTTCTGTAATTGATAGTGGTGTATTACTAGTAAACACTGCCTTTGCAAATAAGGCTGTCAGTTGTTGATGTTCTTCTACTTTCATTACGTCTACAAAACTTTCTACCATGGATCTTTGTTTGTTAGAAATGTAATTTGATTTTTTAACGGGTGTAACGGCAGATAAAGTGCGTACTGTATTTTTTTCAACATTACTCTCATGACGACTACAACTAGTAGTACTAGTACTAGGACTAGACGTACGCGATGAAGCTGTCATTTTAGAGCGAATACTGGTGGGGGCTTTCATGCAATTTCCAATATGGATTTTCATCCTAGTGGAATTTTTTGAATATTTTTCTTTGCAAAATTTGCATTGAACACATGTTGTTTTTTTATTACTATCTATACATTCTTCAAAATACATCCACACTGAAGACCTTGGTTTAACCATAATGCTGGAAAAATATTCGAGATTCAGCCCTGTAATGTATCAGAATTCAGAAACGTTAAATTTAACGTGCAGGTTATTTGTAGAAAACGTTATTTTGCCTATACTAAACAATGCAAAATAACGTTTTTTGACAGATAACCTGCACGTTAAATTTGACGTTTCTGATACATCATTGTATTTATTTATCATAAAAAACGTGATATATTATATCATACACATATCTGGTAGAAACGCAATTTATTTTTCTTAAAAATTTACCGCATTGACATAGTAGAATAAATATAATCATATGATTTCACAGATAGTTAACGTCGGGTTAAGTCTGTCTACCTACTTGTTAAATAGGTACTTCTACGTTCTACCAGATTTATGTGATCTTAATTTAGTGACAACATTAATAATTTAATTTAGATACCTTGTTCGTTGAATCCAATAGATTAGGTATATTATTTTACTGATTCGTCAACACAACACACAAGAGACGCATAGGCATAGGTACGCAAAACTAAAGTCAGCACAATTACACAAGGCGACACGCGGTAAGCCGTAAGCACAATGCAACATAATTCCAATAAAAGCAATGGGAGGGGTAAAATGAAACTCGTTAACCTTGATGAAATTTCACGTAAGTTACCGTAATTTATGTAATTTATGAAACTTAATAAATTTCATAAATTTCAAAGATTTCAGTAATTTATAGGGTTTCTGAAATTTCCCTGTAATTTTACCGTCATTTTTGTAAGTTACAAAGTGTAAAATTTCCATCAACATCACTAGATATAACTCGAAGGCTTTGATAAATTTTTTCCAGTTCACTCCTAAATCTCCGTCCATCTTCATTTCTCTCGGTTGCTTTAGATTTTCCATTTTCGTCTCTTCTTGTTTATTTTCCACTTTAATTTTCTGATTTATTATTTTTCGATTACGACTGCGCCATGTTGTATGATGATTAATTAAATTGTCGAGCACGATGATAAGCAATGTGGTTTATTTGTCTACCGTACAATACATTAAATTGTGCAACTTACCAAAGATCATGTAGTATGATCTTTGAACTTACATTTATTGACAGTGGCTGTGGTTGCCGCACCTAACCTATATACATAACACTCCCTTCCTATATAACCGAGGCACGTGGCGCAGTGGATGCGCTCACCGATGCTATTCGGAAGGTTGTGGGTTCGAATCCCGCTGCCGACTGCTCTGTCTGGGGTTTTCCTCAGACATACGTAGCTTCGCATAATGCTAGCATTATAGCATTATGTTGAAATCTACGAGGCGAATGCTGGAGCAGTACTCTCCCCCTCAGCACCCTAACTCCGTTCCCATCCCTAACTTTACCCATCCTTACAATCCCGTTCTCTGGCTGAAGAGGGCCAGGCAGCCCTGAGCAGCCCGCCTCCGGTATCCCTGTAGTCAGGGGTGCCGGAGGAATGAAACACGTTGGCCTTTTTCTTTTTTTTTTTTTCTATATAAGTGCGTTTTGTGTAACAACTCCAACATTTCACGTCTCATGCTTTTCGGTATCAAAATCCTTTCGTTTTTGTATATAATACCATTATGTGTAGATATATTGGACAATATATCTGCAAATCGTCTGCCATATTATTAATTTTGTCTGGAAATCCATCCAAAATCAGCAGTTTTAATTTAAGTACATAAGTGTTCGTCATTTGTTGTTTCATTTTTAAATTTTTCCATTTTATCATCCGAAAATGGTAACGTATTTGATATCATAAACAGTTGATGTTCAAGCTGTTCACATTTGTTTTAAAATTCCTGGTCGAAATCGTTGATAAACGCTCTGGACAATGTATCTGCCAAAACTAATTCTTTACCTTTCTTGTACACTAGGTTAAATGTGTATGGTTGTAATAATAACAACATTCTTTGTAGTCGCGCTGGAGCTGACGATAATGGTTTTTTATAAATCTTAATGGTGTATGCTCGTTCTCTATGGTGACATCATCAGTCCGTCCATAAATGAACTGGTGAAATTTAGTACATGCATATAAAATTGAAAGCATTTCTTTTTCGATTTGCGCATAGCGCTTTTGAGTTGGAAAGTAACATTCATGTACATTCGTCATGTAATCTCTCGTGCTGGTGTCGCCATCTAACATGTATTACATTAATTACATACATTCAAATCCCAACACTCGTCTTCACCATATATTTCTCTTATATAATATAATAGTCTTCACGCTTTTTTTACTCCCTATCTACCGGGTGACCCTTACAAAATGACCAAATTCCCCCTATCATATATACCTCTCCAATCGAACTGCTAGAGTACAAGTTGCCAGTCACTATTCGATCCATTCATACCCCTCGCAGGGGTTCCCCAAGGCTCACTTCTCACACACCTACTTTAAATCGTCTACACTAACGACACGCCAAAACCAGTCGTACTTTTCGCAGATGACATTGCCTTTTGGACAATAGACAGAACCACCACAACGACACTCTCACACGACTTCGGCAAATGGCTGGAGAATCCAGTTAAACCCAGAGAAAACACAAACAATACTCTTCAGACATCCCGATTAATGTAATAACCCACGACAACACGAAGACGTTCACCTATACTTGAACAACACACCTCTACAGCTCACCAACCAAATCACGTATTTGGGAGTAATCTCACAAGTACGTTATGAATTGGAAACATGACCAAACGCTCACAGTAGACAAAGTTAGTAAACACACAAAACTACTACTGAGCGCCCTCCGAACGCTCCAACACACATCAGACCACTCATCAATTATCGAGCCCCCGTATACTGCACCCCCTCCTCTATCAAAGACACCAAATCGTCACCTGCGAACGCAGCATCTTACGCAAAATACACAGACTTGATCCATTCTACCCTTCCAACCAATCACACACAGACTCACATCTCAACAAGATCTCCCTTACAACATCCGGTAACGCAAATCACACTAAAAACTAAAAAGAAACAATTACTGCCTTAATTCTTTTTTCTTTTCAGATAAGGACGTGTGAACTGGAATCCAACGTCAACCACCACCATCACCAATCCTGCACTGAACGCGAACGGACCCCGAACTCCATCACCCCCTTGACGGCGACCCGCAATGCACCAAAGACACGTGCTGATAACTGCACAATATAGCATAGACATATTAGATACTTATAAGTTATAACTCTCGTCTGGAAAGATTGCCGGTCACAGCACACCTTGTGTCGATTTACAATCTTTGTTTTTATTAAGATGCGAGCGACTTCTGGAATAGGATTGTGCTAATGTTGAACAAAAAGTCTTTTCGTTCAACATTGACAC